ATATAATAATATTTCCTACTTCATTTAACATACTCACGAATACTTTGTCCGCAGCTTTAAATATCGCAAATATTGTACGCAAATTGTCCCATTTCGCACAGAAGTGCACGTGCGGCCTTCTCTGAAACGACGCCACGCCTCCGCCACTTCAAACGAACCGACTGACCCGTCGCCCAGGGAGGCCTTGCGAAACACATGACAATTATGAATAGTATCGCGTACTCCTTTACGACTCTTTTAAAGTTATTTTACGTGTATCCATATTGAATTAGAGCTAATTCTCTCTTTATTATTAAACTTAGAAAATACAAAATACAATCTGTCAAAGGCTTATAAAAGATCGAAGACTATCTATACTAATATATAAAGCTGAAGAGTTTGTTCGTTTCTTTAAACGCGCTAATCTCAGGAATTATTGGTTCGAATGGAAAAAATCTTTTTGTGTCGGTTACAGCATTTATTGAGGAAGGCTATCAGCTATAAAACATCGCAACTAATAGGAGCGAGGAGAAAGCGGGAAATGTGTAAAAAACGGGGAAAATTATTCAGCTTTGTGGGTACCAAAGATATAAAAAAAATGATTCCTCTTTAAATGACCTAAAAAAGTGCTGGAACCTTTAGTGGACCTAAAAAATGACTCAACTTATGCATTCCGGTGGCTTCTTGAAGTTTTAGTGGGTAGTGCCTGCAACTGAGTCCCACACTTCCCAAATCATACAAACGTTCCTTGCGTGGGGGTTGATCAATCAATCAAAAAGGTACTGCTCTATCCACATTTTTGGATAGGTCAGTACCTTCTACTTTAAATTATGTAACCATACCCTATTTTACATTATCCAATTCACATACTTCGATAGTTAAGTAGCAGAACGTAAAAAAAATGTTTCATATCCAAAATGCTATGTAGTATGCTACCTATGCCAATCCAGTAGGTTAATCCAAACATTTACTATGTGGCAAAAAATTGGATATAGACCCCTGCGGAGCCCCGAGTCCCAGCTGCGAAAAATATTGAAATCCTGTTGATGATATTCACCAGTACACCATATAAAGGGAATGTTATCATAATACAAGAAACCTTGACTTGATTTATTTACAGGATTTACCTCAAATGTAATTACGTCATGAAAGAGTATGATGAAATCAGATGAACTTATCACCGTTTTTGCAGACGACTTTGATGATAAGATTATCCGATCATTGCGATGTGTTTGTTCAGACAGAATTTCCTTTTGCAAGCATCACACATCCAGATTAGTATTATCGATCTAGTTGTAGCGATCTTATCAATACGACAATCTGACTACTAAGTATAATGTCATTCACAAAAATATCCAGGTATTATACAATACTAGAAGATTCGCACGAGTTCATTTCTAATAAAAAATAATGCCGTTCTATTAACGAGAGAAAGCGTATTTTGTTTAGATCTTATATGAGTGGTAGGTACACCACACCTTCCATCAAGTAAACAAAAGATTGTGCTGTAAGAAAATAATAAAAATATAGACATGATAAAAAAGCATTTACTTATACACCTTGTCATTAAAATAACTCTTTCCCATTTAAATAAAACACTTTAACAGTTTAAAACGCGGTATATTAGTTAAACTTATTTGAAAATTATTTTTAACTTGGCCCGACGTTCTCCCGTGCCACGGTGTGCAAGATAACGTCGGGCCGAAGTTAAAAATCATTTTCAAATAAGTTTAACTAATATATCGCGTTTTAAACCGTTAAAGTGTTTTATTTAAATGTGTACTACTCGCGAAAACTATAGACAGTATTTATAACTCTTTCCCATATTTAAAACATTGTTAAACTTAATGGAATAAACGTTATAGGTATGCGGCACATAAGATAATATTTACTAGTGAGTTAAATACGGAAAATGTTTTGTAAAACCACAGCCTAAACTAAAAATGCTAAATTTTGAATACTCAAAAGTAATAAAATAAAACACGAGCAAATAGGATTGTAGTTAAGTATACTAATTTAATAAAACATTAATCTCATAATTTACTGATTTGAACCGAATTCTTCTCGAGAAAGTTTGTTCAGTGTGGGATAGACTATTTATTGACAGAGGCTTGTACCAAACATTACGTTGCGACTAATAGGAGCAAAGAAGCAGTGGAAAATAGGAAAGAACGGGGAAATTATTCATGTGGGAAAGCTTCCGTTCCGTGCGCTGCGAAAACGGTTCAAGAAACCAAAAATAACTGCTATATCTTCAAATGATCTAAAAATATCCGTGACAGTATAGTTTTATCTTTTAAGACTAACTTGGAAGAAAAACGCGATATTATGGCTAGTTATAAGGATATTTCTTGTGTTAAGTATCGTTTTTAGATTCTTAGTTAGCTGGTCTCCTGGTTTACTCCTGCAAAATATACCTAGTATCTATACAAAAAAAATCTTTTTCGGTCTTTATAAAACCATTTCTAGGCATTTCTGAGACCTGGAGACCCAGTGGTGTAACTCTACCTCAACCAAATGCTGGTTACCAGTTTACAGAGTTCGTAGATTTGTATAAGTACCTAAGGAACTACACGTATGAAACTCATTCATTATTTTATTTTCAATATAGAATATAGAATAGAGCTAAATTTTAACATATAGGTATGTACTTGGACTGTGAAGTACGTAAGTACCTTTTACTCAATTTTTTTAAATTGCCGGGTTCGTTGGTATTAGCTATTAATAATAATCAAACGGCTTGTGGGTACGATCTCTACCGGGTGTAACTTTATAGGTATGCGGCACATAAGATAATATTTACTACCCACATAATATCTAATAAGACCGCCTCTGTAGCCAAATGGTTAAACTTATTGCCTAGCATTGAGCGCGAGAGGTCCTGGGTTCGAATCCCAGGGAAACAAAAAAGAAATTGTAAACAATGACTTCTGTGCCCTGCCCGACCTTTAGGCACAGAAGTCTGATAAACCACTTGCCCGTTCAAAGAACGGATCAATGAAACGGACACAGAAATGTGTTCGCCCCATGCCGCACGAGGGGGAAACGGGCTTTCACACACCCACATAATATGCAAGCTTGTAGAACTGTACTAATGGGCTAGACAAGACACGTGGACGACATAGATTAGCGTACATTACGAGTTAATGCGACCACTGAAATGCTAAATGAATAATCGTGGATAATATTTTATTACAATTGGCAACTGCGCTAAATTCTACTATGTAACATTAGTTAGTACAAAAATAATGCGCTCAAAATATATATGAGTTAAAGTTTAAAATCGATTTTAGATTTTTTTTTTATGATTAAGGAGGACAGTAGTCAAGCTTGGGGCTTACTCGATGGTAGGTGATATAGGTACCCCAGGTATATAGGTAACATCTAAACATTCGTGACCCGGACGGAATCGATATTCCTACCACGTATTTAATACACAGATTTCTAGACGAAGTTTGTCTCAGAAAAAGTTACACCCGGTAGAGATCGTACCCACAAGCCGTTTGATTATTATTAATAGCTAATACCAACGAACCCGGCAATTTAAAAAAATTGAGTAAAAGGTACTTACGTACTTCACAGTCCAAGTACATACCTATATGTTAAAATTTAGCTCTATTCTATATTCTATATTGAAAATAAAATAATGAATGAGTTTCATACGTGTAGTTCCTTAGGTACTTATACAAATCTACGAACTCTGTAAACTGGTAACCAGCATTTGGTTGAGGTAGAGTTACACCACTGGGTCTCCAGGTCTCAGAAATGCCTAGAAATGGTTTTATAAAGACCGAAAAAGATTTTTTTTGTATAGATACTAGGTATATTTTGCAGGAGTAAACCAGGAGACCAGCTAACTAAGAATCTAAAAACGATACTTAACACAAGAAATATCCTTATAACTAGCCATAATATCGCGTTTTTCTTCCAAGTTAGTCTTAAAAGATAAAACTATACTGTCACGGATATTTTTAGATCATTTGAAGATATATCATTCTTAGCAGTTATTTTTGGTTTCTTGAACCGTTTTCGCAGCGCACGGAACGGAAGCTTTCCCACATGAATAATTTCCCCGTTCTTTCCTATTTTCCACTGCTTCTTTGCTCCTATTAGTCGCAACGTAATGTTTGGTACAAGCCTCTGTCAATAAATAGTCTATCCCACACTGAACAAACTTTCTCGAGAAGAATTCGGTTCAAATCAGTAAATTATGAGATTAATGTTTTATTAAATTAGTATACTTAACTACAATCCTATTTGCTCGTGTTTTATTTTATTACTTTTGAGTATTCAAAATTTAGCATTTTTAGTTTAGGCTGTGGTTTTACAAAACATTTTCCGTATTTAACTCACTCTAATTTTTGTAAGCTTACTCAACTCTACATTTGCCGTAAATGAGAAATATTTTTGAAAATCTTAAGTGTAGATAGACTGTTATTCAAAAATTCTCTAAATAGCTGATGCGAATCAATTACAAAATAAGGGACGCAACGGTGTTGAGACGCCCCACAATTATTCCGACACCACAAATAAAGGATTGATCACCAATATATCAGGCCTGTCGACGGAATCTTGTTCAACAAATTGCCGCGACCGTCGCTTGCGCTTGAGTGATGATCACCGAAATAGATCGGCGTAGTTGGACTTGGTAATTAGGTATAAGTGGTTTTACGTTTAGAACGAGGTGGTGTCTTTTGGATAATGGAAAATTATTTAGTTCATCTAGTAACAATTCACAGGTTAGTTTGTTTTTTTAACTGTATATATTAGTATAGATTTTTGACTCTGTTTCTTTAGGTGCGGATCTCTTTTCTTGTTTTACTAATGCATTTACATAAACAAGAAATTTACCTTCAAACTCGTTGAATGAAAGTGGTATTTTGAAGTAACTGTATATTAAACACAAATCACTTTTAAACATTTTCCATGCAGACTACAATCACCACAGATACACATACACATTAATAAACAAAAGAGCAAATGTTCCCAAAATATACATAACATAAATAATTTTATTACAGATCCAAATGCAGGTGGAATGGGCAACGCTGGAATGCCGGGGGCTGGTGCGCAACAATACGGAGAGGTGAACCAGTTAGGGGGTGTCTTTGTGAATGGACGGCCGCTGCCCAACGCTGTCCGGCTACGGATCGTTGAGCTAGCTCAGCTAGGAATTAGGTACCTAAGTTTCTTTTTTAACAGCTATATGCGTACACCTTTTGATAAGTTTTTTTTTGATATATTTAAACTGAGATACAATTCGATTTTTCCGATAATCTTAACTTTTAATTCTGTCATTCATAATTTAAACAATATCTATTCGTACCTAAATATTTATTTATTGTAAAGTTTAAACATTGCCTGTATATGATTATGTGAGTAGTACCAATTTTAATACAATACTTCAACGTTTTAAAACGCTACTCCTACATAATATAGAACTAATATATATATCGCGTTTTAAAATGTTAGTGTTGTTCTATTTAAATAAGTTTAAATATATTTTTATCTAGCTTGTCGCCTTACAGGTACATTTTCACAAATATCTTAAAACCTAATCACGTTTTTTTCTAATCTTGCATATTTGTGTGTCCAGCCACTACTTCAGGTTTTGCCTGTGCATTTACTTAGTACGCTTTCCAAGATTCGAACCTAGGACCTCAGCTTATCGAAACGAATGCAGTCAGTGTGCATTTTATACAAGTATGTTACTGTGAATCTAAGTCCTGGATATAATTGTTGTAGGCCTTGTGACATCAGTAGACAGCTGAGGGTATCGCACGGCTGCGTATCGAAGATCCTCGCCCGATATCATGAGACAGGCTCAATCCTTCCAGGAGCCATCGGCGGTTCAAAACCAAGGGTCACAACACCGAAGGTAATATTTTTAACTAGTTGTGCTAGGGACTTAGTTCTCGTAAAATAGTTAGTTACCCACGTCGTACGCGCCCCGTAGTATTTTTAGATTATTTAGAGAAGAATCATTCTTTCTTACTTATTTTTTGGTAAAAACCTTAAGATTATTAGATTAATAATCTTCCCCGTTTTTCCCACTGTTTCTTCGTTTCTATTGACCCCGGCGTGTTTTACTGCCTTAATCTTTCCCTTATAAATGCTTTAACCTACACGTAAAGTTTCAATTCGAACCGGTAGTTCCAAAGATTAGCACGGGTAACGAAAACAAACAAACAAACTCTTCAGCTTCAGCTTATAATATTAGAGTAGCTTAACTTGTGTAAATTTGATCAGAATGTAGCTGTTAATAATTCTGTATAATTAAACTTTAAAATTTTTTTAGGTGGTATCCTACATAAAACAGTTAAAAGCTAAAGACCCGGGGATCTTCGCGTGGGAGATCCGCGACCGTTTGCTCGCGGATGGCGTATGTGACAAGTACAATGTCCCTTCTGTGTCCAGCATCAGTCGAATCCTGAGGAACAAGCTCGGTGGTGCACTTTACCCCGTGCCCCCCTTATACCCAGTCCCTCCACAGAGATGCTGGCCCTTACACCAGCCTTATGATTATTATATGTACCTGCAAGTGAGTATATCAAATGACGTTGCCAGCATAAAAAAATATTAGATAAATATTTGTAAATTGCAACTAATTAGGATACTTTATGATAGAGGAGGACAGACAAGCTTGGTTAACTTGATGGTAGGTGAAATACCTCAGCCAAATAAAACACTTTAACGGTTTAAAACGCGATATATAAGTTAAACTTATTTGAAAATGATTTTTAACTTCGGCGACCCGACGTTTCGGATGCTTTGCAGCAGCCGTGCGCAGAAAAAATCACTAAAAAAATCATAAGAAATATAATCGAAGTTAAAAATCATTTTCAAATAAGTTTAACTAATATATCGCGTTTTAAACCGTTAAAGTGTTTTATTTAAATGTGTACTACTCGCGTAAACTATAGACAGTATACCTCAGCCATATAACATCTAACAATATTTTTGCTTTGGATGTTTGATAATCCACAATGAAACGGAAAGGCGATTAAACTTCACCGCCTTTTCATCTATGGAGGTCGGAATTTCGATAATCCTACCTATTTATTCCAGATTAGATCCAGAGTTCCAGATGAAATCCAACGTGTTTACGAATAATTATAAATTGATTAGAAAAATGTCGGACCGGGTGGGGATCGATTCTCACGACCTGGAACACGATTAACCATATATTGCTAATATTATACTAATAAGCCTGTCAAGATACCTATACAGTGCATTCTCTGCTTTAATTATACCTCGGAAATTGTCTACTAAAATACAAATTGCAAGCCAAACTAAAACGATTTTAATCATACATGTATTCCTTCAGGGTCGTCAACACGCAACCAGCGCACCTCACGGACTAACGCATCCCCACCAGCCACCCGCGCCACATCATGCGCATGCGCACGCAATATGACCACCACTCGCTCCATTCGTGACTACCTCCACAACTGCCAACATTTCATCTTCTATTCCAGCAGGAATGTCGCATACCCTGGGAAGTAATGCTGGAGTGAATGCTTCAAGTATGAAAAAGTCTGGCGCAAACGCTTCGGTTATAGTATCGAATATTCCACAATCGACCGGTTCGATTAATATGCCATATAAAAATCCGTATTATAGTATTGCTTATAAGGATGTGATGAGGTGACGTCATACGTCATGTAAGCTGAGACTGTATTTTTACATACGATTTACATCGATATAAGTCGAATGTTGAATTGTATGGATCCAACGACAAAATTTCTTGGTCTAATCTTCAAATGAGTGACATTAAAATCACTTTTTTAAGAATGTTCCAGTTAGCTCAAGAACTTTTCTTAAAATCAGTGTTCGCGAGAGTGAACTTTTAGTGACTTTATGAGCCCTAATATACATTGAAAATAGTCAATATCGGAGTCATGTGCTTACCAAAATCACGAATGGACGGTGGAGATATGGATGGAGATATTTATTTATTTAAGTCATTTGTACATTGTCACAAAGTATTAAGTTTTTGTATATAGATTGTATAATAAGTTCCAAAATAAATTATATGCTAGGTAGATATAAATGTTATGAATGTGTTATTTTTGAATAAGCAAGACTATACAGTATAGCATATTGTCTCCTAACGTTATATAATAAGAAATAATTTACTAGTATACAGTGTATTTACTCTTTTAAAAGTCTACCCCTTTAAAATACAGGGTACCTACAGATCAAATGTAGGTGCTATCGAGATTTCGTATAAGATAAATGAAGTAGTAATACTTACTAAGTTATTCGCTGAATTTTTATGACACAATACTAAAGACTTTTTCTGTGTACGAAAAAATTATAATACTTAGAGACACCTTATTTAAGCTTAAGTATAGTTTAATTTAATCTTCGAGTTCAAAGTATACTATGTATTCATATTTAAGTAGAAACTTAGTTAAGCTAAAAACCTCAGAAAGGTGCGAATTGTATAAATAAATTGTTATTATCTAAGTTACAGGCAAAGATGGGTACTTAACTTGATTAAAAAGTAATATATTATTGTATACATACTGTGTATACATATATGTTAATGATAGAAATACTAGAAAGTAGACAGTTTTTTGAACGCCCCGTATACATAGAGATATATTATACCTATGGCTAAAACAGAGACAACTTAAGAACATAAATAAAAAAAATAAAAGTGTTTGTAGTCTTGTTCTAATTGGTAATATCTACTTGTATCAATGTATAAATATAAAATTTAGCTAAATAAGACTAGAATAATAAGTTGGAAATGTACTTATCTGTGAAAATAAAGCTGTTTCTTAAGATAGTCGATTTTTGATTTTCTATGTTAATAACTGGCATAATACTTTTGAATAAAAAAGATAAAGGTATTAATAGAGAATTTAGCTGTGTCTGAAAGATTTTGCTGTATTTGTCCATGTCCTCTATTTGAAATAAATATACATACGTACTGTAGTGCAGTTGATCATACAGATTCTTATTAAACCTGACACAACTTGACAATTTTATATCTAGGACTAATCTATGCATAATATTATTAAAATGAAGACCTTATTTGTACGTTAAAATGTTGGAGAGATCATTTATCGAGGCTTTAGAGCTTAGGCAATATAACATCATGTTGCAATCAATAGGAGCGAAAAATTAAATGTGGAAATAGAGGGGATAAGCTCGAAACCCAAAAAATATGTTGGTACTGAAGAATGATTCCTCTTCAAATGATCTAACAAAATGTCCGCGGCAGTATCTACCTATAGGTATTTTAAGATCACCTCGTAAGTAATTAACAATCTTAACAGTAACTACACAATGTATTAACATTTAAATAGTCGAAATTTAAGTAAACAGGTACATTACTAATAACATTTAATATTATAACAATCTAAATACATATAAACATTATTAATCTGCAGTAATGACAATCAACAAAACAATAAAGTAACATTCCGCTGGGAACAAAACATCGGCTTCGGGACACGGAGTACCAATTAAATCGTTGCTTTGTTTCGAATTTAATACCACCTAATCCGAAATTTTACTGTATTAATAACAAATTTTACGAGCGCGCGCAGAAAAAGCGCGGGAGCAAAAAGTAACATGGCGACAGATTTTTTCTTTTAGCAATGGCCGCAGTTAAAATGACATTTGACGCCGCGTTCGCTTTCAACTTCCATGCGCATGCACAACGCAATTAAACGTGGGCTCGCGGTCCTTTTGAATGAGTTTAGCAATATTTTATATTTTTTGTTTGTACATAAATACACAGTTCCAAATGATAGTTAGGTACTTACCACATAAAGTCATAACTATAACTATACCTTATACCTACATAAATACCAAAGTTGGTTTTATTTTATTAAACTTACTTATTTTTTTTAAATTAAACTAACAAAGTATATGATAAAACAACAATTCTCGTAAATATAGCGAAACCCTAATATTTTGATTACTTTAGAGTACCTAAGTACTTTTTGAGAAAGTACTTCAGATATACTTACAGCAACATAAATTATATATTAGATACAAGTAAGTATAACAAAATGTTACGCTTTGTACCTAATATTAGATCTGCCCTCAAATCCCACTATTTCAGTAACAGTAAGTATGAGATGTTTGTGTCAAATTAAAAAAGTCGGCATCATCAAATACGTTTGATGTGTCACAGGGCATAGATCATAACAACGTTGACAATCGCAGGCGCCGTATAATCCTTACCACGGCCGGGAATCGATCCGTGGGCGTGTCAGGTCGCATTACAAAGAGAGCGCGTTCGGGGTCAAGCCTTTTTTTTGCAAATTAGCCAGGGATCATCGACTGTGGTAAATTCAACAAAAAATATCGAATGAATGGTAACTATTGTCGAACCTGGCTATGTTGAGACACGAAATTACTTCCTAATTCGGTACACATTTATAAAAATATTAAGTTGGAGGGTTTTCAAAAACAGAAAAAAATATTTTTATCATGTTCATAGAAATACTTTAAAAGAATATATCATATATAATATATTTGTTTGAAAAACAAAAAACTACGTCACACATCGCACATGTGGCGCCATCCAGTTGTATATATTAGAACTATGTGTATTTCCAGCCAGTGACTAATAAAATTCGTATTAGATGGCGCTGTATTAAAACCGTTTTCATTATTAATTAAAAAATAATCTTACATTTATATGAGCAAAATACCGTTTACTTGTCTATACAAATCGTATCAATAAATTAATTATCAAATAATAATTACTGTAGTAGAACATACTATCTATCAGCATGACGCGCCGTGAACTGATATCTTTGTGATAGTTCCCTAGCACAATGACTGATTGAGCAATAAATGTTTAATCAATAATCTTATTTTTGTAAAAGCCTCTATGCACACGGCACTAGTGACGTGCGAATGTATCTTAAGGAGCCGCTCTTTTGTATTATTACATATGTTTTGAAACAATTTTTTGATAAGATTGGTTGCTGTTGTAGCAAAAACAATCCTTCACTCTAAAAAAAATAATTGTTGTATACATAGATTTTAATCACGCGATCTTTTGCTTTGTAATAAAAATATTAATATTCTTTCTAACTTGAAGGATTTTTAAAAGCATTATTCCAAAAATCTTTTCCACGATTTATACCAGTAAATTTTGTTTAATAACAAATTTAATAATACTTGTTATTTTAAAATACAGCGTCATCTATATCTTTTTATGCAAGTTAACAAAAATATGACTGACAACAGCTTATGTTATTACCACAAGATGTCGCTGCAATCGATTTTTAAAAATTTACTACTGGAAAATAAAAGCGCAGGTAAACTATATTATCTACTAATTATGGAAGGTATAAATTTCCATAATAATGGGTGATGTTTTTTTTATCCAACTGTAAAATATGTTAACTATGCAGTTTTTAATTACTTACCACGTACACTTCGGTTGTAATACTAGGATTTCAGTAGGAATAAGTCGATATATGAACAGGGAATATCACTGTTTCTGTATTTTTTAATAAACGTCTAAAAACCAAACACGCAGTCATTCTGTAAATCCGTATAAATAAGACAAAGGTTCATATGTTGATTTATAAAAATGACCCTTAATTCAATATTTCTTTTAAAATAAATGATAAGATACGTTTATGACACCTCCCCTTAACGATAGTGCACGCGGCACCAAGCCGTGCTATTATCAGCAATTATATCTGATATCAAGCTTGTTAGCTGTTGCTAGGCAACGATACTAGTGCAGAGCTTGAAATTCTTGGACTTGAGTAAAAAGATATATTTATAAAAATCTTATCGAGATTATGTATATTTTTTCATTGGAAATATTCAAAATGATCGTAGTAAATAAAATCCAATTTTCAAATTTCCTACAAATGTTATTTGGTAGTAGAAAGCAAGTACCTAACCAATATACATAATATTATATCACATAATTATACCATTTTAATATTATTATTTGTTATTATTTTACTCGTGTAACAGTTTGAATTGTGGACAATCCAATATAAATACTTTTGGACTATCTGTTTAGTATTAAGATTACAACTAGACACGCTAGGACTCGATGAATGTGTCAAAACAATGATGATAATGTTCAAAAGGTTTAGATCGGCGTACATATGTAGATAACTAAGTACTAACTGCTCAGATAAAAGTTAATCGATTGGTCAGTATTGTAACTTAAATTACTTGCATTGTCTACAATTCTAAGCGTTAATTGAACAGAATTTATAAATATATTATTTATGGAGATTTCACTGTCAAAAATATACGAAATATGTAGGCCTTCTTAAACAGCACTCATCACTAATTGTGGAAGATTTTAGGAGCAAATTTGCAAAGCTTCTTGGTTGTCCTAACTGGTCGCAACAAAGTGGTAATAATTAAAATAATTAAATAAAGACCTGATTCGAGCTGATATATGTATGTACATATTATCTAGCCATCACTAACCGAACAGTAAAAATGAAAATATTTAACATACAAAAGAGATATTAAATTTTAAGATATGAGACTTATATGCTCGCACATTATATCTATACAAGCTTTTACTCGATATTTTGCTTCCTAGTAGATAAAATACCTTTAAAAAGAATCGGTAGTGTACAAATACAAATCACCATAAGAAAATTGTATCCCTGTACATACATGTAATGTGATCTAATTTATGCGTATTGTAATTTTTTTAAATTGTACAGGGATTTTATTTCAATACTGTCTGTAATTTACACGAGTAGTACACATTTAAATAAAACACTTTAAAGGTTTAAAACGATAAATTTATTAGTTAAAGTTATTTAAAGAAATATTTAAACTACGGCTCGACGTTTCGGATGCTTTGCAGCAGCCACGTGAATATTTTAACTACGCGTTGGAAATCGTTGAAGTATTTTATTTATTTAAAAATCGATTATTTTTTGATAACAGTGACGTTTAGTTATTCTAAAGAATTTTCAAATAGCTATAAACAAAATGAATTATTTGCCTAGTCAAAAGGGGAATGTATGAAAGAAAGGCAAAATATTTAAAACGAGAATACATGCGATGTAGACGTCATGTTAAAAGTAAATGAAATGTTGATCCTATATTACATTTACTAAGTAAGAGCTATGGTACAAAACCATTCACCAACTATAATTTCATCTTATAGACTGACGTTATTTCTGAAAAATATTTTTAAAATTTTAAATTATTACAACTCTTTTCGCTTCTCAAATAACCATTACCCTTTCTATAGAATGCGTTATCTCACATTGTATCGTTACTCCTTTGACATCGAATTATTAAAATATAATTAGTATTTCTTTATTATATATGTATATAAGATAGAGATAACTTTCACGGATAATTAGATATAACAAGATAGATTAACAATAAAAGCCTCTGCAATTCAGGACTTGGACATTACTGTGAGCTCTTCAATACGTACACCATGTCTAATAGTAGTGAGTAAATTTATGTTGTTATCTTTGCAATATTATTATCCTATATTATTATGTTGTAATTGGTGCTCTATCTCTTTATCCTAATATTTAATGCAAAAGGAAGTGAAGCTTAGTAAAGTTAACATTTATTTACTTAATAGCTGTGTCAGCGCCCGCGAGAATCGTTATTTTGGGCATCCATCTTCGTTTTTGCAAACCCCTTCATCTTTATAAACTTAAGTGGGTGTTACCCACGTCGTCTGTCGCGTCCCTTCCTGTCGTTGTTGCAAGTTATTGTTAAAAGATAGACATATAGCGTCGCGGACTTTTTTTTTAAAACATTTAAAGAGGGATTATTCTTTTATACATATTTTTTGGGTATCTTGAACCGTTTCTCAAATGTTCCTGTATTTTTAAATTTGCCGCTCTATCTTCGCTTGTATAAATCACAGGGCGATGTTTTATAGCTTATAGCCTTCGTCGATAAATGACCCAACTAACACAGAATTTTTCAATTTGAACCCGTAGTTCCTTTGATTAGCGCGTTCAAACAAACAAACTCTTCAGCTTTAAATATTAGTATAGATTAATTAAGTTAGATTTCTTGTAACAATTGGATTTGAATTGATTTAATTCGATGAAAATTCCATATATCGACAGAGAATAGTCTTAAAACACTAGACTAGACTTAGTTCTTCAGTAATAAACGATAATAATAATAATTTAGTAATCCTTTTAGTTAACTTCTTCTTCTCGTGCCTCTCCATTACTGAAGGTTGGCCGTTAGCCTTTGTTTACTTAATCAATCTATATTAATCAGATTTTTTTTCGATTTGAATATAAAGACTTTTTCTGAATTATGAATTAATGAATAATCCCTAATTCACTATTAGATGCCGCGTTTTAAACCGTTAGGTTTTAATAAAAAGTGATTTAATCTTATCATTTAAATCTTGTCTACGTGTGTTGAGTTTTATAGACATTGGATTAGATTAAAACGATAATAATTCTTTTCAGTTTATAACTACGAGAGCTTAAATAATATATTTGGCGCTGGCTTATTCAAAATATTAACAATGTTTATAGCCCAATGTTAAAAGTGTTGCCAAGCATTGTATTAAGCAAGAAAGTTCTTGGTTTCTAATGGGGGAACAATAAATAAATAATTTACCTAGCAGGGCACAGCTTGCCATATTAACCGCGTGACCCATATGGGGAAAATAAATTTTACTATAGTTATATTTTACTTTATGCTAGGCCCATCTTTCTTTAATTATTTTTATTTATTTGGCTGTAATAATATTAAAGCCAAATTACTTTATTATAACACACATTAGGTAAAACCAATTATTAAATCATTCAATCCAATGTGTGGTATTACCGCGATTACATCACGCTATAGACTCCTGCGCATAATACACAACTCTGTTGTCTTTCTGAGCACGAAGTAGCCGAATATTAATGAGTCGATAATCAAATAATACAATGAATTAAGGATTCAATTTTTTCTTGTTTAATGTTGCACTCAAAAACTAAAAGCAATTTTACGTAACTGCTAAAAGGAAAACAATTATTGAATATTTATCGTCGAACAATATCATATTTCCTACTTATGTACCTTGCGTATATAATATATTTATAGTACTGGTCGTACTCAATTTACCTAAATGTAATTATGTATTGTGCCAACACCACACCAAAAACAGATATGATCACTCGGATGTAAACAAACCAGTTACGTTAAATAACGCAAATGTTTATTTCCTTTTAGTTATATTGTTGAAACTGCTTTCAATACTAAAATGTTGAAAAATTACAATTGTCCTTATCCTATTTCATTTACACAGAACAAACTAAAAGGCAGAGCGTGGTGGTGATTAATGAACTTCTAGAACGAAAGACTTAAGTTGATTTCCGAGTTAGATAGTAATTATTAGTTAGTACAGGCCAGCAGTTTATATCGCTGTTACACACTCTACCACTACTCCTATCTCTGGTAGAGCGAGTGTCAATGTAGAGACGTCTATATGAACCCAAACCTCCTTACTCTGTACGTAAATTAATTAGGAACCTCAGAAAAAAATATATAAAGTATTATAAGTACCTAATTTTTACCTAAATAACATAAAAAATCGTTCGCTCTATAGCCAGATGTTTAAACGTGTTTCCTAGCATTACGTTAAGTGCGAGAGTTCCTGGGTTCGAATCCCGACGAAGTACTAGCTAATTTCGGTAAACGGACACAGAAGTGTGTCCATGCCCCACGGAGATAAACGGGAATTCACTTTAACCTAAATACATAATGCGATTAAAATATTTTATTATTATCCTCTTTAACATATTATTACACCTTGTTGATAAGCTTGCCTTCTATGTTTGAATTTGTAAATTGTGTAATTTGACAGCTGACTACTCTGTCCTTCTCATTCACCACTCCCGCGCAAGTGCTTGCCAAGTGAGAACGTATCGCGCCGTTTCGTTACGTCACGCTTTTACGACGCGAGTGAATAATATTTAGTTTTTAATACAATTATAAAATAATGGACCACAGTCATCACGATCACGGTAAGAAATTAAATGAATTTAAGTAAATATGACGGGTATATGTGCAGTAACAAAATAATTGCAGTGACCTTGTTTTATAATAATTTTAAAATCTATTGTGTGAGTGCAAACATAATTTATCTAATATTAAAAATCAATAGTCGTTTTATTATTGTGAAATATAAAATTGTGTTCATATTTAATCTGTAATTACTTCGTAATTCTTGTAGATTGACACGCGTTACAGCATTTGAAAGATCTTTAAAATTATAAATACAAGAGAACGTTAATTCTTTGGTACAAAACAATTATTAGTGAAATTGTAACTGGTCTAACACTGCACCTTTTTTGAACCGGCATTACAAAATCATATGTGTTGTAAAAAGTTAAACACTTACGAACAGGTTACAAACATAGTTTCGAAGCAATAATAATTTTCCTAGGCTCTGTCAATCTAACAGCATTTAGTCAAACTCTTTATTAAAACTTTTCAAAACTTTATAAGGAACAAATGAGCCCTTAAGTTAAAGTTAAAAACTTCTATACTAGTTACTCTTTCACAAAAGAAAGCTCGTAGTTTAATATGTTTATGAGCTAACTTATGTCTTTTTTTAATTTCTAAACTTAACACCCAAATAAAATTGTACACTAACTACAATAAGTTTTACTAAAAACATGAAAGTACAATATGTACTCGTATCTGTTCTTTTTATTGTAGCCTTATATTTAAGTGATGATTAGATCCTCCAGATAAAGATGTCTAAAGTATTATTTAACAAGTGCATCATTGCGCATACGCAGGCCGACACGACCTAATTACTTTCGTGTAAAGGTTAGGTTAGATAATATGTTACATACATGTAAAACAAATTTCAATTTTATGCAACTTTATGAATTTAAAACTCGTTAAAATACATGACGTGGTCGTTCTGTACATTTATAGGTACCTACTTGTTTTGCTTTTTCTGCTTCAAAGAATTTTTCATAAAATTTTACTTACTCGATTGTTTTAAGTAATTCTGTTTACACAAAAGTAACCATTTATTTTTCTACTGTAAGCTACATCAGAAATTTAAATTTCTCTAAAACACGTTTGACTTAGTCGGGAAATCTGGATATTAAGTGAACGGTAGGAATATCGAAATTCACGACCCACCATGCGCAGATGAAAGCCGTGGAGTTTGTTTTGGTTCTGTTACAGTCTGTGGATTCCCGAATACCCAAAACCAAAAAAGGTCGACAGCGCATCTTGTTTCGATGTTTTTGATTATATTTTCGGCTTTGGCGTAGTTGGACAAAAAGTTGATTCCACGTGCACGAAGTATTAAATGCACTGTCATTGATACTAGCTAAAAGTCAACTTATCAATGTCAATTACCCAGTAAAGCCATGCTATGCATGCCATCTGCACCTTCAGATAAATGATAAAGATTTATCAAAGATCAATAATGATTGATGAATTCAGAAGCCGTGTCAAAAACATTTCGATAAAAATCTAACTACAAGTCCTTAGCGAACTATAGATCGACTATCACTGATTTTATTAATCAAAGTTCCATCAAGATTTAATTAATCGTGGTATTATGTACCTACATTTAGTGATAGGTGTTATTGATATCTCAGTGGTAATAAAAGCTTTCTAGATTCTATTTTTACGAACATTTTAAATATTAAAAAACATAGCTTACTTTAAATTGCTTGAATTTATATATCATCAAGATAGAAAAGCAACTAATCTGTTTTCTATTTCAAAATAGATAAAGTAAATCTATGTTGAAATTTGACCTTCCATTCTGATTGCGCAGTGCTGTGAAGTCAATAATTGTAGGACAACGACTTTCTGTAGAAGAAATCTCTAAAACTTTAATATTAATGTTATATAAATAAATCAATAAATAAGTTTAAATCGTATGTAGAACAAAAACTGCTTGGAATAGGTTATTATGACGTTAATCAATATTTCAATTATAAAAATGCTTAGGGGAACCCGCTCTAACAAGAAAAAATATGTAGTGCACTTAAAGTACGTGAAGAGTGTAAGATGAAACTTGGCGACAAAAGGAGTGACGGCGAGTTTATTGCCTTCTTCTTAGATCTTCTCGTTCGTTCTACGCTCTTGATTTAAGAACTGGTAGTAAATGTAAAGTTAGATTATTTAGCTTTGTTACGTTCATAAGTGTAACTAGCTATCAATAAATGATTTTGACGTTGACTTTTACTATACCCATACGTATAATATATCATAGACAAGTCTAGGACTAGAGACTGGACTAGAGAGAATGGACCTTAGTAGATTCTTTTACTATTTACGATACTTAGATAATTAAACGCCCACGCTCGTATTAAATTGACACAAAAAGGAAGCCATGTTATCAACCACAAAATATATGTAATTACTAATGTAAAAATAATTTAAATATGATTTAATATAAACGCCATGCTATGCTCCAAACAGAACTAAATATTATAAATAAAATAACGACACCTACGACAAACCGTGCCTCTACCAATACGTTACCAATTCACCTAGAGTTTGACAGTGTGGTGACAGCGTCGCTCAACTACACCTATATCATCTGAAGCAACGGCACAATTCGCTATGGTCATGTGTTCGAATCCCGCCAGTGTCATTGATCATTCCGCTAATAAAAATACCATTATATTCTAAATTTCTATGTATATGTAGCTACTTTATAATAACGCATACAAATGTACCGGTTCAAATTAGAGTTCCTACCTTCCGTTCGATAACAATAAAATGTTTTCGTAAAAATTCTTTACGCTATTACTTATGTTAGCAATGCTTCAGCGTCATTTCATTTGTTTTTAAATTCTTACAATAATTTAGTGCGTTATTCAGACGAAATTTTCTCGTAACGATTTTATTTTTTGCACGAGCTGTGTTATTTGTGTATGTCTAATCATATTGTTACACTGGACCTACATATATTTGTGACCTAATGTTTTCCTATGTTCCAAATTAGTAGCAAGCTACCAAAATATATTTTAATAGCATGATAATCTAAATAAAACACTTTAACGGTTTAAAACGCGATATATTACTTGAACTTATTTGAAAATGATTTTTAACTTCGGCCCGACGTTTCGTTTTATTTAAATGTGTACTACTCGCGTAAACTATAGAGATTATTTAGCATGTAATTTTTACACATACGCGAATGCTACAATCAAACAACCTTATAAGAATTTAAGGAGCGCTAAATTAAACAAAATGTCTAGTAAGTAAATTTGCGCCCTTTTAATAACTTCATAACGAACATCGCTTGCGATTTGTCAAATGCATATTTTATAGGAAAATTATGAACTTCTAAAAATGTATATACCTGTCAGCAATTTAATTAATATACTATGTAATATTATATTCTGTGGAACAAGTAACATTGAAGATTAAAAATAACAGTTTATAAAGGCACAGGATATCGTGCTACAACATCCGAATAGCTACGCGCCCCGACATCACTTGCAATTGAGCGGATGTTTACGATAACATTTTGACAGTGTTGCCATAATTCTTCACTGTTTTGGCATATACTTACCATATTAGACATCGGTTCATTAGTTTCATATTCTGTGGTAATTTAAAAAAATATTTGACCCACTTCCTCATTCCATGTATATAGCTTAAAAAATCTATGAAGTACTACTACAGTTTATCTGAAAAACAATGCAGTCGCTTATTTTCCAATTATTTATAATTATATAGCTGCCCTGGCAACTTCATTTTGCCATATATTTAATACTAAAATTTGATAAGTTCTTGTCTTTTGAGACTTAATCTTAAGAGATTTTTTTAATTCAAACCAGTAAATCATGAAATCAGCGCATTCAAACAAACTCTTCTTCTTTATAATATTAGTATAGATTTCCACAATTGTAGATGTTTAATATTTATTTCATATAGACAACAAGATAAAATAAAATTATTGTTAACATCTGTAGCCATGTTTTCCCCTGTGGCCAAGTGCTGAGAGTGCCGGATGTTCCCTATTGTCTTATTAAATGAATAGATTTCGCAGACAGCATGTGAGGGGAATAAAATAGATATTATATGCGATTTACACTGTGCATGTCAAGTGATTTGACCTGTTGAATAAAAAAAAAAATAACACACGCAACAATATATTTCTGTATATATTTTAGTGATTAGTAAATTATTGTTGCTCTGATACCGTGCCATAAACGTCTTTTTATGTAAAGATGGTGGACATTTATGTGTCACGAGGTTTCTTTAATTGTTTAATTCAAAACTCACTTTATTGACTTATTCATTCTTAGTTTACAACTATCAATTTATAAAGACTGAGACCGTTAAAATCATAGATAAAAACCACAGACTATAAAAAGCAATGAAACCATATACACTTTAAGTGTATTTATTTTCTAAAGTGGTTTATAGTTTGTGACGTTTATTTCTCTGAAAGATTTACAAAAATCACTAGAGTAAAAGTTATTATAATAACTTATAGAAAAAATAGATACGGAATCGTTAGTGCATATGAGATTGAGCATCAGTAAAGGTGCAATGGGATAATTTATGTGTGATTCGACTTGTCCTTGACGGTTGACATGCGCATGCGTTGCATCTCAGGATCTACGCGCATTTCCATACTCGTGCTCTCTCTATATATAGTGGCATTTCTCCTTTAGATGCCTTTATGAAAGTTATACGTAATTGTATGTTGTGTCTAAGTATTCTATTTATTTTTCTAGAGTTGAAAATCTATTTTCCTAATAAATAACTTAAAACAAGTTCTAGATATATCATGAAAAACATCAATAGTCATTGATATCATGTGTGTGTAGTGTAATTTTTTACAAATTAATTTATAATAATAAACCTATGTAAATATATAGGTATTATGATACTATAACACTGATCGATAACTAAGTTTTTTTTTATAATAGACGATATTATATAAAAAGTATATCAGCTTTACAGTGCATTGTGTTTACATTGTATTACTAAAGTTCGTAGTTAAAAGAATTACACAATAATTATTTATTGTATATGCTAAAATCGTGAACTCACAAACTTGCACATAGTCAACTTCTTGAAATATTAGAAATCAGCAAAAAACCACAAAACGAGCGATTTCGAAATCAATTGGTTCCGTATTATAAAATAGAGTTCCTCTGTTTTTGCTAACAGGTGTTAAAGCGTTTACAGAAATCCATCATATTTAAAAAAAACATCCTTTTATCACATTTAATATGATATAATCGTTCAGCGGTTCGCCTTATTCGACCACAGAACCCTAAAATGCAACTAAACAATACGCTTTGGAGAATCCAAGGTATATTTTGTACTATCGAGGAATGGAGACTAGATTGCTCAAGGTAAACCACTGTAATAACAAGCTACCGCATCGCTGTGCAATTGTAATTAAAACTTTTAAAAGTTGTATTATAGTGATATAATCTCAAAACATAGCATAAGTAATGAGAGGTGTACTATGTAGGCTTATTTCAATGAGCAAAATATTTATTTATGACATTATAAATCCTTATTTCTGATATTCATTTGATTTGTCCAGCATTTTGTGTAAAACAAAATTCGTGAATGGATTATGGATGAAAGATTATAATGGTTAAAATTACTGAAAATCAGCGTGTACCTTTTCTAGTTTCCTTTTCTATAAATATATAAAAAAATTATAATAAATAAAGAATATAAATAATGAATATTCATATTTATTTATTTAGTCTGTAGTTTCAACGGTTACGGTGACGGTTTAAAACACGAAATAAATAATTTTAATTTAATTTATTGTAATTAATGATTTTGAATTATTAATGATTTTAACTTTTTTCCTGCTAACTTTCTTTGGTATACAAAACGATTCACTTGTTGATGATATGTATCTTATAGTTAAGACAAATAAAAATTTATTGATTTGAAAGTACTTTTATCGCAGTTTATCTGCTTAATTATGCATACAATTGAATCAACCGCGCTAATTAGTCATTGTATTGAGCACCTGTTGCTCTGACGTAGATAACTTCGCGAACGCATTTGAGGAGGGTTTAAGAGTTTATATCAATCAGTCTGGTCCACTGCGAGTTTCGGTAACTACTAAATTACCAGGTCATGATACACGTGATCTCCGAGACTTACGGTGATGGCACCGCCTACTTCCAAACTCTGGCCTGGTATCAGAAATATTCTTGGAAAAAAAATCCAAATATACCAAAAACTTGGATTTTTTACTACTACCATTTTCCCAGACTCAGGATTCGAATCATGGACCTCGTGATTGTAGTCAACCCACCAACCCAATAAGGTTTCATATTATTGTTTGTTTTATGATATTAGGCATTTTCTCTGTAGTCACACTGTTGAGTAATTTTTGTTAAATAAAGCGATAATGAAAACTTAAATCGTACATTGTTATCTTTAAACAATACTGTGCTAGTTTGATAGTCTATTAAATCTAATAGCTAGTAAAAAAGTCAAGCAACATATTATGTACTGTGTATATCTATATAAACAAATAAATTTCACATTTTAAACATGGGATAGGTATGTTTATTTATTAGATAATCAAATAATCCAAATATTAGGTTTGTGTTTGTTTACATATATAGCTCTAATATTTACCCGAAGAAGTCAATATTCGGTACGTATCGATTACACGAGAACTCGACTTTTTATTATCCGATAAGGAAAGTAAAACTTATGTTGAAACCCGTAAACAGAGTTAAAATAAAGTTGTTTTACTTAAAACGACTAAATAACACACTGCAGTTTGAAAAACGAAATATATAAGTCTAATCAATAACATAAGTTTATTAGTTAGTTGAACAAGCTATAAATAAATAAAACACAAAACGGTTTAAAACGTGGAGTCTATTTGTTAATTTAGAGAAATCGACGACCTGAATGCGTAACAGCAGTAAGTGGCAAACAGACAATAAGTATTCACTTAGTTAAGATTTGTAAAATATTCTTAACGAAATAGATTCTTTCATATTATCAATTACGTATAAGATCACCTACTAATATGTGAGTTTTTCTCACGTGTTAGCATGTTCCTTGTTATTTTTTTTATCGTTATTACAAAGTGCTTGCTATCTTGTAATGTAACTCTTGTACTAAGTTTATAGAGATATGCACAGCGTCTGTACTATAATATTCCCCAACATAATAAAAACTTAATGACCTAGGAAATTGGTACTAGCTTGCAACTTGCAGCAGTATATTACGCAAGTCGTCCCTGTAGAGAGAAAGCGCATCTTACACAATCACTTGTGTCAATCAAATTTCTATCTTATGTCGCTATCAATAAATATGATATCGCCTTATCGTTAATATGAAGTATGTTATTGATTAAAACATATTTATTTTATTTGACATCAATAATGATTGGGTTCGAATTTCAGATGTTGTTTATATATATTCATTAATTTAATTTAATTATAAAATTTACAAGTAAGGAAAGATGTATGTCATGTGATGAGATGTGATGTGGCTTTCCTATCCCAAAATACTCTCAAGTTAGATTTAACTTCCTTATTCGGTCGTATGGGAACGGCGCCATTTTAGGTTTCATCTGCTTATCAATCTATAATACCTTAAAAAAAATTAAAAGTGATAAAAATCAAGTAAGTAATTATAACATTAAAAATATTTATATATTTTAAGTTGCAGCGTTATCGAACTGCTTAAATATGAAAACAGACTAAATTGGAATACAGCCACAGTTTGTTTCGTATTGTACTAATATACAAGTTCAATATACATTCACGACTTGTCACCTTTCTTTCTTCTTCATAAAAACTACAAGTAAAATGTCTAATAAATATATCTATTTTGCCGTTATTTTGTTTTTATGCTTATTGAAGAAAAATAGAACTTCAATAACACATACCGCAGAATTTGTATTTTATTTTTATAAATACATTTTATTTTAGTAGTCGATTTCGTCCTTATCACTCTTATCAGACGTACAAAGTTGTACACCTCTCGGGTATTACAGCTCTTGAATTAAGTGAACTGCAGTGCAATTAGGTGGTCGAGTATGGTAAACAAATTACCGTCTATGAACTAACAATAGATTTCGCGAACAATGTACGTAAAATTGTCGTGACTCATGTGTTTGTGTAATGTCACCTTCATTTGTTGTCGCTCCACATGAAACGCTTTCAAAACGTGGAAGTTCGTGAGAATGTATTTTTTAGATAGACAGACAAGCATGTGGTTCACTCGATGGTAGGTGATATACCCCAGCCATATAACATCTAAACTATGCGTTATCGACCTATATTGTGGCTTTGGATATTCGGCGATCTTTAGACTGAAATTGAGAGGCGAATTAACTTAACCCATCACTTCTCTCACGAGGATGAAGGATATTTTTTAATGTGATTACTGGCCACTTTTAACTTTGCATATGATGTTATTTATAAAAACCTGAAAAGTTTACATTTTGAATTTAAACGAACCGAAGCAAATTAAAGAAAATCTTGTATTACCTATGATACACACTCGTACCTATTTACGTCATATAATAAATAAGAGGTAATAATTTTATCTATTCTGAAATGAACTTACCGAATAAGATAATTCTGTAATTAAAGTCAGAAACACATATAAAGTCATGAATAATAATCAAATACAAACATGATTTATATCGGCTTAGACAAATATTCTTTACTTAAGGTCGGCGAATTAGACACCTGCTATCATTATTAATTGTATTTTATCGATTGTTTCAGGAATGGACATGCCTGACGGTGGTGGCTGCGGCGGCGGCCACATGATGGTGGTAAGTTTTTCCTTTACATGAACATTCTTCCAAGTCTTAATTATAAAAATAAATGCATTTTAGAATTCAATTTCTCAATTATACGACGTATAACTATATAAAGAAGAACATTAACTATGTAACTTAATATAAACGGAAAGTTATCAATCAATATAATATGATGACCTATAAAACTGTGTTACGTAGATGCTGTTTGCTGAAGACTAGAATAAATGTGACCTTAGCAAAGACCTTCCTTAGAAGTGGACCCTCGTATTTTTCTTTCAATAATATAATTCAACAAAGTAACTGAGTAGATGCATTAATTGCAAATTAAAATAATTCATTTTCTTACTGTGTTGAGACATAAGTATAGAATTCAGGATTCCTGAATCAAAATTAAAATCGTTTTCTATAAAACTGCAAAGTACACGATGAATAAAACGTAAACTTGACCGGAAGAGGTTAAAGTTATCAAAACGTGCAACCATATCGAACCACTTGTTGCGGTTCTGTGCATTAGATTGTTAAAATATTCACATCCAACGTACGAAATAGATAACATTTTAGAAATACAACGATGTAGTACCTACGTAAGATAACTATTTTAATATTACTTTGAAAACTATATGACCTACTCTTGTCAATTGTGGTGTGTGTTGTGGCATACTCTTTAGGTAAATAAAATCCTTCATATTTTCCTTTGTATTGTATGAAATAAACACGATTAGCAAACATTTAAATCAAATACTTTGACCGGTATAAAACGCGAAAGATATTAGTTTCGGATGCTATGCACGAGCTGTGGCCCATGTCTTTTAGCCGAAATGTCGGGCCGTAGTTAATAGAAATATAAAACATTACAAGTTTTAAACCGTTTAAGGGTATTTTCAATATTGAATAGCCTTTACCTGCATATGTAGAGGTTCGAAATGGGTATTTTTGGTATGGTTACTATATAATGTACTGGCATCCCTTATCTACAAAATGTAAAATTTCCCATTTATTAATTTTCCCATTTTCGAGTGATTTAGTGTAATATAATAGTTTTAACATATCCATGTGTGTTATATTGTAATTTTTAAGTCGTATAGAGTGTATAAACGAGTAGATAAATGTTAAATCCTATTAAATAATAATTTTTATAAAACACACCACTGCTCAATGAAATATATACTATTTATAATGCGAAAGAGTTTGTTTCTTTGTTTGGTCGGAACTTAAAAAAATCTTTTTTTGTCAGGTAGAACATTTATCGCAAATATTCGCATTATATAAAGCATGTAATAGGAGCAAAGAAAGAGCGAGAAATGTGATAAAAAAAACAAGGAAAAAATCTTGTAAGATTTACTTGCAAGAACGACAGGACGCGACCGATGTCGTGGTTAACAGCTTAAATTTATAAAAATGAAGAATAGGTTTACAAATAACAAATGTGGATGCCCAAAATAGCTATTCCACGCGGACGAAGTCGCTAGCTAGCGTATTATATAACTATATTTACATCCATTGTCTTTAGTAATTCCAACACGTAAACGTTTCCTAAAAAATTCGCGATCCGACACGTATGATAGCGATTAATCTGCTCGGTCACTGCGCACTGCCTGTGTCACTGCGTGATCTACTGACATACTCAAAAGTTACTCTTGCGCATTCTAATGAATCGCTTATATGTCAATAAATAAGTTTAAATCGTACGTTAACAAAAACTACTCGGGGAGGGTTATAATAAAGAACTGGCATAAACTGGAGTTTCTTGCCAGTTCTTCTTATTCTTTCTAGCCCTGAATTTGGGAAGTAATGATTTTTTATATATAAATAGATGCTTCGGTCACTGAAATAAAAACAAAACTAGCTTAACATTACTGTTAGTCTTAATATTGTTAAAAAGGACCCAAAGATATTTTTAGTAATAGGAATTATGTAAAAATGTATTTTTGTCTTTTTCCTCGTTAACTTCATGGGTTACTACTACAAATAACATACTACAAATAGATAGATCATTCAAAGTGTACGCTATTAAGTTGAGTAATTAGTTATTTAAATGTTTACACTTTCCTAAATTTCGTTGGCAGTGTAGATACTATTTACAAGAATGCGATAAGACATGTTACGTTTCCGGTTTATGCAATCAATCCTTTCTTAACATATTAATTAAATTTACATACTTTAAATAAAACACTATTTATGGTTTAAAACCCGACAGGCATTACTCAAACATATTTAGAAATTATTTTAAATACAGCCCGACCTTTTGGATGTGTTAACCCTATCTCTCATTATATCAGCTGCAACGAAGTTACTAATACATTTCATGTTTTAAATAGTTAAAAGTGTTTTAATTAATTATGTACTACTTGCGTAAACTACAGACAGTATATATCGTGATGCAAAATCTGGATATAGGGCAGACATATTTCTATGTCCGTTCTACAGATCTTATTATTTTTATATTAGACAAGTAATTCCAAACGGAATTCAAACTCAGACCGTCTTGCAATGAGCGGTCATTTAAAATACTTTTCTTTCATTTCCAGTTTCACGCTAGCGTAAAAGCACAAATCCTTTTCCAAGGCTGGGAGACAACAAACGCTCTACAACTCTTCGGATCAGCTATGGCCATATTTGTAGCGGGCGTACTCTACGAAGGCTTCAAGTATTACAGGGAGACGCTATTCGAGAAGGCTGCGCTCGCGGCGACAGCTGAATCACAAGTCAACATCGCCAAGAACGAAAACGGGGCACGGTCGTGTCACACTAAACGGACTGTCACGTTAGTATTAGTATAGTAATGAGTGTGACAGTTAGTTCAGAATGCAACGTCCCTTAGAAATAATGCTGTGACAAAATTCATTTTAAAATGTATATAATGTGTGGAAAATAATTGGTTTTACATAATTGCTTCTTTATCTTGTGAACATCTGCTAACGTTTACTCGCGTAAAGCTTTCACTTAAAATGATAGTATGTTAAAAAACTTGTTTTTTTTACGAAAATCAATCCAGCCATTCTTAGGTGCATAAATAACCCCTCAAGAACAGCTAGGTACCTAGTCAAGTAAATACTTACACAAATTTACCGGACGTTCTGGACACGGGTCCAGAACGGTCTGGTATAGTTAAAATTAATATAAAAAAAGGTCAACCATATTTTTCACGTTAAAAAGTGTTTTGTTTTAACGTGTAATACTTGCTTATACAAGAAATACCTTTAGGTACTTAGTGGGTTAATCAAAATCATTTCTCACTTCCAGATACACGATGTTTTCGAGCGGTCACATTTATCAGACGGTTCTCTACTTCATTCAAGCGTGGGTCTCCTATATTCTTATGCTGGTGTTCATGACATACAATGTCTGGCTATGTCTTGCTCTGGCACTAGGTCTGGCTGTCGGGTATTTCCTTTTTGGATGGCGCAGAACAACCGCCATAGACAACGGAGAGTGTTGCATGTGAAAATCTTATAAGACTGTGGGATTAACTCGCTTGCAAAAGCTATTTTTAATTTTTAAAGCTACTTTATAGCATACTGTTTCATTCATCCATTTTGTCGAAGGAATAATGCCAATAACTATTTAGAAAAATATTCCTTTTAATGTCAAACTCAAATTATTATTAGTTTGATGCCACAGGTAATGATAGTGACTTTGACTTATGTAGAACGTCTAGCAAGCGCGTGTAAATCTATTTTGCTAATAAATTTCAAATCAAAATACAGGTTAAAAATACTTTATCAGTACAACTTAATCGAGGGAAATTCTTAAAATAATTTCTAAAGTTGAACTACAGTGATAGTTATTAAAATTATAAAACAATTTAAAAATTGAGTCTATTGTTTCTACTACAGACTAGAAGAGGGAAAACGTTCTCCCTTTTCTAATTAAGTTGAGACCATAACATTTAATAAAAAATATTTAACATTTTGCAAAAAAAAACAAAATTTGATTTATAAAATTATTAGGGCACTGTTCAGTCTTTAATAGTGAATGATGAGTATTGCTAAGTGTTAATACTTAGGCGCATTATTTTTACTTTACAATAACTTTTAAATTATTGTCATATATTATGTATTACCTAAAGCTTGCCAATACTTAGCTTACATTCCGTCTCTAATATTGTATAATGTTTGTTATCAGTTTTTATTTTTCACTAAAAATAATGTTTGTAGTTTGTGTTACTTCTAAAGTTGTTTCTTCAAAAGAATGTGGAAAATCGAAATTTGACCAATGCAACCTAAATGCGTAGATTTTTCACTTTCCAAAAATATGAAGTAGACAGTTGTGATTATATCTATAAATAATACTATCTTTAAAATAAATGTAAGATAGTTTTAACGGACAGTAAAATTTCAAAGCAATGTGTGATATTGACAGTTTTGTATATTGTTATTGTTAAGATGAATTAAAATAAAATATATTTTACTATAATTATATTGTGATTATTTAAGTATATACTATGATTTCATCTTAACCGCGTTAACAGTATTTCGATGCTGTATCAGGAACTAAAAAAAAATTTAGTTATGTTTATGTTTAGCTGTTATTATTTACACACGAGTCTTTATCGCGACAGCCAAACAGCTCCAAACCCATATACCTATATATGTTTGTAGGAGATTTCGTAGAAGCCAATCTCTGGAGGCGAGGAATTTCACTTTATAATATAATTTGGTATATACATAAGTCAATACAAAAACCCTAACATGTTTCAACCAGCGTGTCGAGAAGAGCAGTGTCTTGTTTAACAACATAAAACAACATCTTGTGAATTTCAAATAGAGAATTGAACATCTTTGTAAATTATATGTTGCCAGACATTATTAATATAATATATAAACTCCAACAATGTTGTGTGCTCAATTGAGTGGAGCAGCAGCACAGAAAGCTGTGGATAGCGATTCAAGTGTCCCCGTCCGCGGCATAGATATTTTTATCTGAATTGATTTTATTTACTTCCTAATTTGAAATTCAATCTTCATATTCTTTTCTAAAACATGATATTAAAACGAAGAAGAGGCCGTAACATGTACGAAAAAAAAACAGTTGACATTGACACAATAGTTGACAATTTTCCAAAAGTCCGCGCGGAATCGACAGTGATGTTAGTTGAGAAGGGCAGCAGTGATGGCTTTAACCGGGTGTTCTTGCGGCGGAGGCGTCTTGGCGACGGCGCTGGTGGCACTGTTGCTGTTGCCCGCCCACTACTACGTGCCAGAGCTCGAGGAGACGACAGGTATAGCGTCACCAGAACGAGACTCGTGGCTAAACTTTGACTGTCCTCCCTTTGATGTGCTCCTTGCGACGCTCTTGGCTGTTTGGGCTACCGTCGTGTACCTCTGCGACTGGATACAGCGGAAGTTAATGGAGAGGCGGATACTGAAGGTGAATGAACACTTGCGCGAGTGTGGGGATCGCTTACGGCTGTGGGACGAGCGACAGGAACGAGTGGAGGCGACGCTCCGGCTCGTGCAGAGCGCGACCGGCGAGTATAACCTGCTTGCGTGGCTGCTGCTGCGACGAAGGCGGCTGCTGCCCGCGGCGTCGCCTGTCTGCTTTTTCGACAAAGACCTCGACGATATCGATGCCGAACCGACACATGACGTCTAAACTGTATTTTGTAGATTAAAAACTTCTTTTATTTCAGTTTATATGTTCGTTTCAGTCGCTCGACCTCACAGTTGATATAAGCTGTTTTTGTAACTTTATACGTTAGCGCTTGGTAAAACTTGGTAAAACAATCATATGTATGAAAAATCCTATCTATATCAAAATTTTTCTTATATTGTATGAGACTGGCGATCACATATAAAACAAATTTATTTATTACATAAATGTTTGGAATAACTCGTACTTGGCTACTTAAAGTTAAATCAAATGCTAGTTTACTCACGATGGATGAGATATGTTTTTTACATAGGTAATAACTAAAGATGACAAACCAACCTTTCATCATCATCTACTTTTCCCCAAGTTAAGACTAGGTAATGTCTATTTATAATACTGGCAATATTATTTAAATAATGGTAGATTAGCGCTTGTAAATGTTTATTTAAGTAAAGTGACACATTGAAGTTGGTAATCCGAAAGCTTAAATTTTTTTTATTCGCGATGTAAAGATGACCATTGCGCCTCTAGCGACAAAATTTAGAAATTGTCTAAGAACTAACAGAAACTATAGTTTTCCTTTTCGGATATATCAAATCATACCTGTTGCGAATACGAATTATGACTTATAGAGATTAGGGAATGGGGTTTCATTTGTCTCCAAAAGGCCAAAAAATAATAAATATTAGGTAAATTCCTTAAATAAGAGACTGCTCTAAATCACTTCTAAGGCTAGGCTGGCCTACTAGCCTGGAGTTTTTCGTTAGTTTATTTTTCGATTGTTAAATTTTATCTAATTAATGTAATTAATTTTTTATTACTTTGTAAACAAGCAATACGCAGATCTTATCATTAACACATTTTTAAAACCTTAAAACTGTTTTTCCTTTGTGGGAGCGGTTTAATTTAAAAGTCATGGGTTAAGCTCTACAATCAATTATGTAGTCCAAATATATGTAGCTATGATATTTAACGCAGTAAAAATTTATCCTTAATAAAAATACTATCTTAGACTAGTAATTGGATAAAATGTTGCAAAGGTCGATGTCATTATTATAAATAATAACAATAGACATAATTATATTTCCTCTTTTCCTTAAAGAAATTATTATTCTACTAACATTATAGATAATTTATTTAAAGAACATTTTGGTTTTGTGTTGTCTGCAGACTTAATCACATGGAATATTGACAAGCAAAACTCTTATACTTAGTGTATTGCAGCAAAAACATATACCTAAATATTCTTATTCTTTAAGAAATAATTTTACTTGTGTAGTAAATTATTCAGAAAACTGCCAAAGAGTTAGACAGCGTTTTAAATAATTGCATCACTAATATCATACATTATAAGTTGTTTTTGCTTCTTTTCATTTTAACCCTAATTTATACATTTACTAGAAATAAAATGTAAAGGTTTATATAGTATCAATAATAATAAGAATAAAAAGCCCCAGTATAATGTTTTTTTTTGTGATAGTAACATAGTTACGGCCAAAAGACTAGATTCCATGCCATGTAAATAAAAAATAATCTACGTTCATACTTCATGTCTTATTGTCTTGTCTTTTCATTTTTGTATTTTACTTGTTGATATTATTTTTAAATTTAGTTAAACGATAAGTGAACAGTGATCATAATTATAAATAAATAGTAATGCTATAGTGCTGCGAGTTTTGTTTTGTTCAAGAAACCGTCGATTTACACCATTTGCCTTAGATTGACCAGGTAACGGTATTATTCTTTTTGGCGACGTACCAATCTCTCGTGCACGTAATTAATTAACAAATCGTATCCATTAGGAATAATTAAAGTACGTTTGCTATTGTACTTATTAGGAAAGTGTGATTGTTTGTAATAAAAACATCACTTTGCGGCATACATTGTTCCACACGTAGCGCATGGGTAAGTCAGATTAACACGGATGTATAAAAATTTACCAACAAATTTAATGTGGTCAATTCCGTTTACCACAAAATGTGACACTGAAATTACATACATATTCAGTAATAAGTATTCTTATTGGAATATTGACTATACTATATACTTGTCAGTTTTTAAATAAATTTACTGTCTTTAACTAACTAAAATTTGTTTGTTTACATGAAACGATTACATGTATCAATCACAAATTAATGGTTTTTATAGAACCTGCTATAAATATGATTCCAAAACACAAATTGTGGTGTTGAAATTTTTTGGTTTTGTAGTTTTGTTCCAACACTTAGATAATTGATTCTGTGATAGTTAATTTTTTCTTCAATAAATATAGCTGATACTGGTGTCCAGACAACTGGTATTATAACAGTTATTATTGGTGTTGGGTCGCTGAAAAAAGTTGAAGTGATTATAATAGTAAGTTATGGCATTACAATATCTAGAGATTTTTTAAGATCGATTGTTTAATAAAAGTGAATTAAAGGTGAAGTAATTGATCTTCAATAATTGACAAGTAAGGTAAATAAAATAATATCTACAGTTACGTTACTTACCCAAGTCTTATGAAGTTTATCCAGATAGATCTCAAAATATCACTCATTTTGTTCATCTCATGTATACCATTAGCGAACACATACTTAAAAATATCCCCATAATTGTTTTTAACTATGTTACTTGTACCTTTTTCTCGTAAAACATACCTCATTAAAAACACTGCATCATTTTTGTGAGCGTAATATGCTGCAGATGTAACTACAGGGTATTCCATAAAAATATCATTAACATAGTCAATAAAACTTTGTACTATATCTTGCTGGGCAACAGAATTCCCAAAATAAAAATGTTTAGTTACTTTTACTAATATTTCCCTTGTAGCATCATCTAAGGCTACATTATTTGGTAAAAGATGTTTGAAATTCTCTGAAACTGTACTAAATTGTCTGCTCTTGGTTATTATTTCCTTTTCTTTCGAATCACTATATGTAATCATCATGGGTATATGGTGAAAGTTTCCAGATTTCATTATTTTCAAAGGGTCATTGCTAAGTAGAGAAAATATAGAATTTCTCTCGATGCATGGCACAAATTTCACAGATACATTCACCAAATTTATTATTGGTTGCTTTCTAAAGAAATTTTCCATATCTCTTATATTCTCTTCACCTTCGTAACCCAATTCTTGTGCAGCTTCAAATGCCATACCGATTGAATCATTAATTACTGAGGAAGGAGATAAAACTGAGCCTGATTCTAAAATTACTTTATGAAATAGGTTCCGACTTGTACCTGATAATAATAGAATTTCAATAGATACAGCCCCAGAGCCTGTTCCATATACTGTAATGTCAAGAGGATTTCCACTAAACTTTAAAATGTTTTTCTGTATCCAATACAGTGCTGCTACTTGGTCTTTGAGTCCGGCATTTCCTGGAATATATTGAGTTTTTAGGCAGAGAAATCCTAGTATCCCCAATCGGTAGTTAAAAGTCACAATAATTAATCCTTCATTGATGAAATGTGATGGTGGGTCAAAAGACCCCCAACTGAAATTAATAAGAATGAACACACTTTAAATATCAAAACATTGGAATACCTAGAATAATTACATAGGATAATTGTGCAGGCAATTTATTAAGTTTCTTTTGATTAAGAGAAAAAATTATACTTTACCCGCTTTCATAATTTCCATCATGCAAGTACACTAGTACAGGCATGTTAGTTATCTTGCTAGCTGGTACAAAAATGTTTATGATCAAACAGTTTTCACTGCCCTTAGTTTCGGATTGTGGGCATTTGACTTTATGTGTAGCCTCAAAAATTCCATCCCAAACAGCAGGTGGACTAGGTGCCTATACAGATAAAGGATTAGAAGGTAGACACCTCTTTTTATTTTCTAAAAGTAATTGCAGGTCAGATAATCAATTTACATAATAAGCTGACCATTTAGCTCACCTTCCTCAAGAAGTAGAACTTATCAGAACAATATTTAATATTTGTGTTCTTTTAAGAAGACAAGATGTTCATTAAATTGAAAACTTAATATCCAAGCCATATAATTTCCTATTGAAATGCTCTGTCAACCTTTTTATACTTTCAATACATTATACTTTTTAAAAATAATTATCTATTCTTAGAAAACTTTAATATTATTTTTACATGTTATTGCACATGAAGGCACTATATAATTTTTAAAAATCGAAAATAAATTGAAAAAATTTTTTGACTCGGGCAGGAGTTTTGACCGGCATCGTCAGCGTTCCGTGCTGTTGTTGTGCTCTACAATAATTTTAAAGATAATACTCGGTAGCTCAATTAGAGCAAGTACGCTGCGATGCCGGTTCAAGTTCTGCCCGAATCGAAAATGCGAAAATAACTCTGTCTGTCTGTCCGGCTTTAATTCCAAAACTACTGAACAGATTTAAATGAAATGGTACACAGATAATTAAGAGCCTGAGAAAGGACATAGGCTACGTTTAAATGCCAAAATTGACGAAAGTTTGTATGGAAATTCGTGGTTTTTGAAAGCTAGAACAATGAAACTTTCTTCTTTGGTTTTTTTGGGAATAGGAGTGTGGGAATGAGTGTGGGAGTTAGAGTAGGAGTGATGTGAGGTGAGAGTGTTGCGGCAAAGTAGCACTTATAACATAGATTGGCTGCCTTAAATGCGCCCTTACATAAATTAATAAACAGCCTTAATAATAAAAAATTCTACCCCAAGTCACTAATTCCACGTGGACGAAAGTCGCGGGCACAGCTACTATGTAATATAAATCAGCTTAAGATCTATAAAAAAAATACTTATGTTTCTTCAAGAGCAGAACACTATAAGTTATAACGTAAGTTCAACCAATTAAAATCCCTCCCTTTAAGATATCTTAACTAACGTGTATTGATTACTTACGACAACTAAGTTCATTCATTAGCTAATGCATAGATTACTATGATGTTGCTATCAATCAAAAGGCCTTAGTTGTTATTACAAAAGTTATTAGTTATCCGTTAGTACGTGTAAATTATATTTAGGACAATTAGTATAATATTAACATCAATAATAAAAGTAATAATAAAACGATATCGATAGTAACAACAAAATAAACCGCTTTGTCATATAAATGTCTACAATTTGCATTGTAAAATTATTGATCGGTACCCAATTTTCACTATCCCTAAATCGTAAAACACAAATCCAATTACTTTGCGGGATTGGCACTAACAAATGAGAGTGCTGACCTTAAATCTATCGTAACCGGTGGGCGGGCGGGCGTAAGGCACCCCGAGGAAGGCGAAGTGCGACGGGTTGACTTTGTGGTACCCTCTAACTATTCCTTGTGTTGTTTTGACATCCCAGTGTCGTGATAATAGTGCTCCGCGACCAACGACACTGTACAACATTATCAATAAGAGCAAACCCTTATAACCCTCCATGAAATATCACACTAGTGTTCCGAGTTAGACGCGCGCTTAATGTCCTACGGTACATGTAAGTTAGCAAAACATTTCAATGTTTTATTGTGACAACATTCAATGTTATGCATTAGGAAGACAAACAAACGATGCTTGCTTATATTATTTATTCCGGCGATCCACTATCTACGTATTCGTATCTGTGGAGCTTAAATAAAACAATAAAGCTTAGTATATTTTTTGATACATACGCGGTTAAATTCACCCTCATTTAATAAAAGAAGCCCAAAATAGTCTTAATAGATTATTTGGTGGTGTAGGTATTTCAATCTTTAGTAAAATTTAAAATATAGTTTCAAAATAAATTATTAATCCAGAAGACTCAGAATCACCATCGTGAATATGAAAAAGTACATTCGCGTTTTATGCTCCAGTATGTCATAAGATACCATCACCAATGTACTGTTCTTTCTTTTTTTGGGGGACATTGTAATCTGAAACGGTTTGTTATAATTTTTCCAGGGTTTGGGCCCATACGGCCCATAGAAAACGGCTATTAATTATGTTAAACCTGTTCACACTTACTGATATTTTTTTAAATTAGCATGTTAAGTATTGTCGGTATGTAACATATTAGTAAAATATGTATGTCGGTGACAAATATGTTTTATTAATCGATTATGGTTAGCATCACAACAAAGTTATTATCTTAAGTGCTACACTCAAATACAACCTAATATATATACAGTAATCGTTTATAAATTAAAATCAGTGTGATATCACACCTCAACCTATCAAGTAAGTACCTACCTGAAAAGGCCCATTAGCGTCAAAGCCTCCATATTGAATAATTAGAATCCTAGATTGGTGTTAGCGTCGCCTCCATATGGAATTCAGAATCCAAAGATTGGTGTTCTCAGTTAGAATAAAATTAACATTTTATTACAATTGTATTGCTTCACTATCAGTAATTAGTAAACCGTTACTTTCAAAATTACTATAAATATTGATCTGTTTTTCGCCACATTGGCATGTTTAATTGCAAAGTGGTCGTTAAAATGAATACTTAAACAAACCATTCGACAAAATTTAATAACATTAAGTACAGTTAGGTATGTGTACTTTTTAGTAAGTTTAGTTTAGAAAATACTGGACCAAAAGTACTACCTATATTTTATTTTATTATGTGAAGTCTAATTGTTATGGATGCGAATGGATCTATCTATATTTATGTGAAGTTGTATTACGAGCTTTTAGTCCCAATTCCAGCTTATCTGAAACACTTGTTGATAATAGATAGACACAGGTTTGCGTTCCCTTATCTTGTTACGCAATGTAGGTGATATTGAATATTGTTTTTTGTGTTTGTGTAGGGTTTTATGTCCATACAGTATCATTTTTTAAAACACACGTTGCTCTATTATAGTAAAATAATTTTGTCTTTCAGGTAAGAAACCATGTGTCATCGTTGAAATTCCTTCAAGTATATTTAAATAGTTTTCCAGATTTCTACATCTTTGACACAGATAATATAAGGAATCATGTAAGTAGATTACTGATACTTTATTTTTAAGTAAACCTTACAATTTACGTTTAAAGTGCAAAAAATTATAACTGGTATTACTGCCTTTTAAAATAATAATGTTCATAAATGTCTTCCCACATTTCTATTTGCTTCTTGTAGGGAAAATTTATCATTTCAGGTTCTGCTTGAATATTTAGTACAGAAGTATCGTGAGATACTAAAGCACTCCATTCAATACCGCTGTTTTCGAACGTCGGTTTCCTAATAAACAAAGATTCACTAAAAACGTCTTAATATTTCTCGAATATTTCAAAAAATTGTATAAGAAGACAATACTTACAATTGTTTTACAAAATTTGTCCATAATTGAACGAGATGCCTCTGTATAATTGCATCATCTCCATCGAATTCCATGTCACTAGATGGGAATAAGTAAGCGAGCTCGTCTGAGTGGGCTGCGCCTTGTTTTTCTAACATCGTCTCAGGTTCGACACCTACATTGCCAGAATGTGAAAACTGATAAAAATATACGGGGGCATACACCGCATGAAAGTTGGCACTGCGATAAATATGACTTAGGAAATAGGCGTCCCTGAAAATGAAGGAATTAGGCATTAATTATTATAATTTTCAAATACACATTAATATTCTAAATATTTTTTTTTGTTGAATTCTGAAATATCTTTCAAATTATTATTGACGCTTTATCAAAATTTATTGTTCTTGTCACCTATGGTATTCGAGAACTGAGTTCATCGTCGTGTTATCGTCAAAATACATATCGGATACTCGTTTTGTCAAGGACTTTATTTCCCTTTCGCTTGATAATTGTAACTCCATAGGAAGCAGAAATGTTGCATCCCTTGTCATTTTCTTAACGACTTTTATATCTTCTAACATTGATAGAAATACATAAGCCTCGTTTGTATTATATCCGGTTAATATGGGAACAGAGTGAATCTTCCCTTTCACGAAACTATCGAAGGGCGCTTCGGAAAGTAACCTTTCTTCGTGTTTGAATGATCGCTCTATGCAAATTCCGAATGGAAAATATGGTACATCGAGTTCTTTTGACTTAGCTACCACTTCCGTTATTGGTGAATTTAGTATAGATTCTGTTCCGTTTAGCGTCATTTGAAGATATTTGGTCTTGTCGTTAGCATTGTAATTGAAAGCCCAAGGTGCTAAAACGGTACCGCTTTGTAATATGAGACCATGATACAGTCCTGTAGCCATCTTTGACAGGGTAAGGGTTTCCGCCATTGCAGCGCCTAGGCCCTGGCCAGCCACCACCACTCTGTTGGGGTTACCTTTAAACGCGACAATGTTATCGCGTATCCATCTTAAAGCAAGGACAACGTCTTTTATTCCAGCGTTTCCTGGTATTTTATCTTCGTTTGAGCACATGAAGCCCACTGGTCCCATTCTAAAAACATAATCATTATTTTGACATATTAGTATATCTACCACGAGTTTAACTCAAAGCAATGTGCCAAACTTAATGGGGTAGGATTATTTCCTGGCAGTTTCTTACTAAATTTTATTTTTTTGCCTTACCCGAATAAATGATTTTTGCGTGCATGTTAACGGTAAAACAATCATACTGTGACATTTATACCTGTGCCTAACCGTTACGACAACAATTCCTTCCTTCACCAAATGCCCTGGTGGATAATCACCACTAGTACTCTTTATCCAGACGAGGATCGGCAACGATTTACCTGTTTTCGGCACGTGCACGTCTAGCTGTAGGCAATCTTGCACTTCAGAGCGAGCTGAGCAGTATGGATCGCGGGATTCCCGCACTCCCGACCATGTGGGTGCTCCACCAGCTCTCTGTGATTTTAAAACAATTTAGAAGCCAAAATTAAATTTAAATAAATTCAAGGTTTTTATCTAACAAAGAATTGAAATTAAAGTTCCATTCGATTATTGTGTTTCGTTTTTAGCTTTACTTTGGGTACCGCAAAATCTGCTCCTTCCAAATTCGCTCGCCATACCTTGTTTCTCATCGATTACCGCTGCCACTAACTTATATGTATATTATACTTATCAATTGTTTTTAAATTTATAAATTGTATAATGCTTAGGGGATTATTTTGCAAAGCTGTAATCTCGTAGTCAAAGAACGCGTTTGTGGATGAACTAGTTCTCTCTTCAGCTTCATATATTTATCTTACCTTAAATCTACCATTCCTTTCAATAGAAGCATAGGGCACCCCCACAAACGAAATATGCGCATCCTGCTCGACGCCTCTAATTTTTCCCTGCGCCATTGATATTATAGTTTGATTCGATATGTCCACAAAAAGCGACAACATGCAGTATAAAATTATGTGTGCCATCTTGAATAACATATTGGTTCGGTAATAGTTTGTATTCCACTGTTGGTTGAGTACGGAGATTGTATGTGAGATGGCGCGCAACAGGGTGAAACGGAGCCTACATCTATCGCAAATTGGTCCCATACATGACATTTCAACTGTTACGAAGTGTTAGGATTATATGGATACACCCGTACACCTATTTTAAGTTTTATTTTATACTAGAGGGAAAGAACCCAGCATTTGGTTCACCAAATAATGTGTGAAATACCCCAGCCAACATCTAAACAAGACGCGCTATCGACCTTTGGGAATCCACAGACTAAAAGCGAAACGCGATTAAACTTCACGACATCTTATTTTATAAAGTTGCATTGTTCTAGCTTCAAAAACCACGAATTTCCATACAAACTTTAATAAGGAGGATTAAAGTTTGTATGGACCTCTTCCCCTATTCCCCCTTAACAACCCTTTTTTGGCATTAAAACGTCTATGTCCTTTCTCAGGCTCTAGAAAATCTGTGTACCAAACTTCATTTAAATTGGTTCCGTAACTTCGGCGTGAAAGCCTGACAGACAGACTTTCGCATTTATAATAACAGTAGTGATTAAACTGTATCGCTAGGATAACAATGCAATAATTGGACAGCGTAACATGGATTAAAAAAAAAATATTACTTCAAAAAACATGATTTACTATGCTGATAGTGACATCGTTATTACTTGTCTTTTGACACCTTGATTATTCCTGTTTATTAAAAAAAACTGTTTTTTAATACATAAAGTTGAAAATATTCCCACTCTATGACTAACGGACATAGTGAAAGCATTATAATAAATATCGTGCATCTCTTATCAATATCGTCATAGAAATGATCAATAAATTAAAAATTATCGTAAAAATGACATCTTTTACAATGACACAAATAAAACAAGCAAATATCATATATTATATGGATATAACTGTATTCGTTTGCACAATATATGCAAAAAAAATGTGAAATTATAAATATATGAGTTAGGAATCGACATATACAAAATTTGAAGAACAGTTACATTCAATTCCACATACCTAGTATCTTCTAGGCATGTATTAGGAATTAAATTAATCTAAAAGTTTCTTGTATACTTAGGTATATAAGTAGGCACTTAGATTTAATAATACAGTACGATTGTTTTATTGAAATTGTAACAATATTTGATAGCAGTGGATAGACAAACGAGTTCCTATTTGATGTATCATAAAACATAACATCGTACGTCAATTGCTTTCATATATTTAAATATTTTTTCATACTTCAAAAAAGCTAAATCTCATTGATCAGTTCTAAGTTATGTTAAAACTATAAACTAAAATTCTATTCCTCTATGATTGAATCGATTATGTCCATAAACAAATACTCATAAAATAGAAGGTCAATTTTCAACACAGTTCAAAGATTTTGACACTAAATTATTAAAAATGAAATCAGCCTTAGAAAAGGATGCATTCATATTACTTTAAGTTCTTACGAAGTAGTATCACCTAATGCGTTAACATCTATAAAATTGACTTTTGTTTTAAATACGCAGACAGAAACAACGGATTCCATAAATCTATTACAAAAAAAAAGTATTCTTAAAAATATAATGACTACAAAAATAACCTTATTTAAGTATTATTCCTATTAAGTTTACAATATCAAAAAGGAGATCAGAATTCGAATTTTGTACACTTAACTGTTTACACTATGATCAGTAAACGGACACTGAAATGTGTTCGCCTCATGCCCACGGCACTCCACTATGATCATGTATGGACAAAGTAAACTCAATAAATTAGCAGACAACATCCTTCACACACACAAATCCTAAGTTCTCGTTTGATTGTAGAGTCCTTCAAAGAACTCCACAACTTCACTTAACTCTTCACTGATTTTTTGGTATTTTATGTATGGCCCCTTAATATTTTGGTAGTAAATAGTTGGACTGCTGCTTACTGGTGGCCACGCGGATATATGCAACGGTGTGCATGTTGGCTTACTGAAAAAAAAAAATCGTGTTAATATATTAGACTTATGTTCATCAGGTGTTATGTTGTCACACCATCAGCCTTATCCATTAGTGAGTTATGCGTTACGGTTTTAATATCGCCCGCACGCCACACCAATCTTTATATACTATATTAGTATTTTAATTTATTAGTTAAGCGTATCTGTGTGAAGCTTGTGAGAAAATAATAGATTTGTGATTGACTTACTCGCAATTTATAAAGTTTTGGACAAGCATCGTCATCCAAATAGTCATAGTGGTGTCTACAGAACTCCGAGGCAGATAACCCTTGACGTCCTGCATTGAGTTCGTTTTAAAAATAAACGTCAAATCTTCAATATGGCCTGCACCACTGTACTTTATGCCTTTGGACTTTGCAATAACATTGAACTCTGCTTCATACGAAAACTGGTAGAGATACATAGGCGCCGCGTCTATCATGGACATTCTCAATTTAGCTAGTTGTAATGCGGGGTATTTGAAATACACATCTGAAGTGAGTTGTACGTATTTATCCATTGTGGGTTGACCGTTGAGATATCTCTTTTCTATCCTGTCCGCAGATTCCAAAGCTGTTTTCAGTGGCAATTTATATATTAAGTCGATGGGTAAAAGGGCCAACGGGTTGCCTTTTACACGCGCTAGCATGTCGAGACGTTCAAAGTTAGGTCTGAATGTTTCGCTCTCTGAACTAGTGAAACCAACCAACAATGGTATATCTTTTCCGACACCATTTGCAACTAACACAACAGGATCCTCGTCTAAAACCGTCGTAACCCCAGGGAATGCTGTCTCTACTACCGGCATAAATGCAGTAATGCCGATATGATCTTGCACTATCTGATTAGCCTGCATAATCTGTTCGATGGGCATTGAAACTAGTTGGTCATGAATCTCCTCCGGATCAGTTGCGTTGATACCCAGAACTGTTAGAAATGAATTCGCAACGAACTGTGCGTATATTGGTGATCCTGAATAGAAAGTGGGTAACGCTGTTCCGCTCATCAATATTGCTCTGAAAGTATTACGTACACAAATGAAAAAATGATTGTTTTCTCTTATTAGTTTTTAATTACAACTAGTTTATGGCAGTTTCAGTAACTACACTAGCATGAGTAAGAAGAGCTTCCTACTCATAATATATATATCAATATTTTCTTATATTAGAGGAAAAACGAAAAAGGGGACAAAAAATCGATGTTTGATTAGTCTTAATGGTGACTATTTTAGCCTATTTATCAAATGGGGTTACCTATTGACTTCATGTTGCCAAGCAACTCAACGCTTTTAATAAGGCTATTGTAACTAACAGTAAATATATTTTTTCTACCCGCCTCTACTAAATACTTGAATATATATAAATCTTACCTTTTGAATAATCCCTCTGCAGCCTTTGATAGTGTTAAGAGATGCACGTTGGCTGCTCCAGCGCTTTGGCCACCAAGTGTTATGTTTTCGGGATCTCCACCGAAATATTTTGCATTGTTTTTGACCCAACGCAAAAAGGTTATAATATCACGGAGGCCATTGTTACCGGGTATACTCGAAGAGTTAAGAGATAGATAGCCGAACACGTTAATCCTGAAAATAAAGGAAAGTAAATTAATATAAAAATTTAAAAGAAGGAAGATATTATGTTATCCGATCCGATTCAATTCAACAGAAAAGTAATAAATTAAATTAAAAACACAAATATTCAATTTATATAATGCCATCATATAAACATTATTCACATGTTATTGCAATAGTATTGTAAAAATATTAAAGTTATTAGTTAAAAAATAGTTCTATCTTTCAACAATAGAGAAAATGTCTAACTATCCCACTTCCTAGGTAGCGCATGACCTACTTTTTAGAGGATTTAGTTAAGACATTAGTCCCAACGCAGCTGAGTGGTTTTCTTTTCAGAGGCTACTATTTTGTTGACTTTAAGTGAGTCCGTAAATACTTAATATTATGTGCATTAATTAAAAGCAATGCAACCGTTCCTCTTAATTAGACAAAGTCAGTTTCCCACTTCAAGTCGTATAATTTGGAATGTTCTTATCGCTTTAAAAAGTTTTAGCGTAAAAATTCAATATGCATGGTGAATTCCATTCGTTGCTTGTCACGACGCTTGTCAAATTTCTTCACATCAGTCTAACAGAAGGAAAAACGGCTTTTTTTTATGAAGTCTTGTGTTACAAGACATACAGGCCTTAAATACTTTTTTTTTCTAATGTATTTATGATAATTATTTTTTTAACGTGGTCGTTAGCATACATACTGTGTCTTAATTGGGACGATGAAGTTAAGATACAAGAATTATACTATTACTATTATATATATACTATTATATATTATAGGTTTTGTGTGAAACAACGTGCATACAGTCGATGTGCAAAATTACGACAATCACTTTTCCAAGAACAATTTGATACTTTGTTTTCTTCCATAACGATCATAACATCAGCAACAAAAAGGCCATTCACGTGTTACAATGTAAAATTTTCGTCAAATCAAGGTCAATGGAATAACTTGGCACGTGTAAGTACGAGTTAGACCGGGTTTTAATTATAAGTGGCTTTTATAGCTAGGTAATTTGTCATTTTCTGTGCAATGGCTTGGCTTCGAAATCGTAGAAACAATCACGGAACCAAGAATTTTCCGAAGCTATATATAGCATGCTCGAAAACGGATTAAACAATTGGTGGACAGTTTGAGATTATTGTTATTTTCTGTGAACGCCGAATGAACTCTAACTGATTCATAAAATTATAACCATATTCATCAATAATTTTGTCGTTGGCAAGAATATCCAACTCAACGAAATGATACAGAGCATTGTTCTGTATGTTACCAAGAACACATTACTTACAATGAAACCTTATAACCTACTGTGTTGTGTTACTCATTTTGGCAACTCGTCTTGCATTGCAATTAATAAAAAAATTTACATACTCTGTTCAACTTTTCACAATAATCGATGTTTTATTAAAAAAATGAAATGGAATGGAATGCATTATTGAATCTCGATAGTGAAGCCGTAAATCAATTACGTACTTATATGTTTAAGAAATCGTAAAAAATCTTCAATTTTATTTTACGTACATCAGAATAATTCATACATATCGTCTGTAAGTATATACGAATAAGATATTCTTAGAATTTAAATTTCAGATATAACACGGGTATTAACGTTCTTATATATTTCTCTTACTATGCAAGTAGATTGTCAAATGAAAAATGTCTAAGCTCCACTGCAAGTTTTCTCTCTCTTTAATCTAACTATTGCGCCTCATTTCTGTAACATTATTTTTCTTTATTCAAGAACGTGTAACGCCGCGGGCGATAGCTCTAGCCTAGTGATAAAAACATCGAACGGAAAATTTATAGTCACAATATAAAATCCTCATTATGCAAGTGTCCACGTGCTGCATTTGTTTACAAACAAACATCGCGCGTTGCTCTTGGCCGAGATTGCTCTTATCGACACAGAAACGCCCTTATCTCCGCCCTATCGCCATACAACCTGAAACCCGGCGATATCTATAACGTATCATCTATTCTTGTTAAGCCTAAAATTATAGTAAGTACTTTATTTTCTCATAATAATCCAAAATGTAGTGCGTGTAAACAAAATGTTTTGTAGATGAAATCGTCGACTATTACTGAGGCTTACGTAAACGAAGTTTATTTTCTCAGATAACCTCGCTCTACCGTACTCTGCGCTTATTTGCGATAATATTGCAAGTTATAAATGCATTGATAGTGATTTGCACTTTAATCATGGGTGGACCTTTTTACAGACAACATAACAGGTTAGGCAACCCGTTCCTTAATTGCGATTCTATATTGACTCCTCTTTCCAGCTGCATTCGAGGTCAAGTTTGTTTTTATGATAGCGGGGGCAGATAAGTCCACTTGAAAGAAGGTGTAATACCTCAGCCATATTACACTTCATAAGATGTTTATAATTATGAGAAACATGTTGGACTCCGTGGAGATCGAACCCACGGCCTGTTGATCATCAGCCATACATTGACAACATTAGACCAACGAGCCCGTCAAATATAATTAACGCGACAAAAAATAATTACTAATCTAATACGTTCCGCACTTTTCTTACCTGTAATTAAATGTAACTACGATCATGTCGCGTTGAACCATAAACTCGGGTCCGTGTAGGTCGGTGTCGCCCGAGCCGAAAGCGAATCCGCCCCCGTGCACAAACACGAAGATCGGCAGTGGCCTCTGACGCCAGTTTTTGAAGCCGGGCATCGCGTAGAGTGGGACGTGGATGTTCGCGTTTATGCACGCCTCGCTCACGTTCCTCGGTTTCATGAGCCGGCCGTATAAAATGTCGTGTTGTGGGCAAATGGGGCCTTCTACTGACGCGTCGAATACATCATCCCAGGTTTCAGCCGGTTGGAGCTCCTGTCAAATCATTTCGTTACTGGGACAACTCTTCAAATGGCTGATTTAAGATGTCTTTATTATGTTAACCATAGCTAAATACTTATTAGTGTTTTCTAGTATAGCGTTTAAGCGCGGGTGGTCTTAGTATCGGACCCCCGTTAAACAATAAAATCGTTTCGGACGGACAGAGCTCAGTCTGATCTACTCCTGTCTATAGATAAAACAACGGCCGTGCACAAAACTATTTTGTTAGACAACTGTACGTTACACTAAACTTTTCTAAGGTCACATTTAAAGCTCACACAACCAATATCTCAAGTACACTTACTTTAAATCTTAATTCTCCAAGCGGCTGTTTCGCATACGGTATTCCTCTGAAGCTAGCATAAACTGTCTTGGTTTGGTCGTAAATGGTTCCGGTCTCCGCCCAACGCTTGACTCCGCATATTCGACCACTTTCAGTGCTAGCGAGCACGTCACACTCGGCCCCGACATATCCTGGAATAAGATGTTAATTCTTAGTATCTATTCATTTAAATATTAGGCCAAAACAATTAACACCTCCGTAGGTAAATGGGTAAACGTGTTGTGGGTTGAAATCTCGGAAAAACAATAGATTTTGTCGGTCGGTTCTTTAATTAAAATAAAAAAAAAAACTACAAAAAGTTTAATTTTCCGGGTGACGCATAATTCTAAGTAATAAAAATAAATGCCTCAATTGAAAACTTTAAACAATATGTATTTTTAATTATGTACTAGTTTTTTTTTTCTTACTGTTATTATTACTTCCAACTAAAGTAATTTGTGAACAAATTTCTGTTTCGCTGCTTGAAACTCGGATGACTGATAATTTTAATTTCGTTTGTTTCGCTAACTTATCAACCTTTTCAAGACGTAGTTCAGTTAAAATTGGTGAGGTAAAAAAATCGTATTATATTTTCAATAATCACCATCACTACTTTAATTACAAATTATATAAATTAAATGATTAACAATTTTATTTCCAAGATCTTTCAGCATTAAGTAAAATATAGATATCTATCAGCTAGATTCATAAAAATGATAACAATAGCTTATATTTTATGCAATATTTTCCTGATAAGGTGATCATTATTAATGAATCATTAGAAGTGAGGTCAAAAGCCATGTCTATTTTGGATAGTCATTATGCTATTAATGGTGTAGGAAGATTAAAAATAATAGAACTTGAATAGAACCGGTCGACACGTGTAGTTTGCGACCTTTACATAACCTGTGTTTCTACACAGGTAAAAACCAATTTCTTTATATGATTTGCTTATATTATATGTGGTGGTAAAACCATGTAGTAATTACGGAACAATAATCTTTAGTTTTATAGAAATATTAACTTTGCAAATGTGTGATATCAAACGTACATTAAAATACACACAATTTGATTAAAAATGATCAATTTTGAACACGCACTTTTACAGTTATTTTTGTAAGAAAATGTGTTGTTAAAACAATTAGGTCTTCAATATGAATCACTTTTATGTGAGAGGCATAACTTCGTAGCTACGTAGCAAGTGCTACGGTCTACAACTGAAGCTACGTAAAACTTACATAATATGTATAAAGATTGTTGTGTCAAATTTAAAATGCTATAATAAGCCCGCATTTTCTGAAGGGATTTAGGCACCTATTGAAGAAATTTAAAAATCATAACTCCAACAGAACCAAGCGGAAATCTACCAATGTATTAGTTAGATGAAATTGTTCCTACACTCTTTATTGAAGATACAAAATAAAATGATTATATTGATATGCATACTAGACTTCAAGCTATCTGCTATGAAAAAAAGTTGATTCAGTTAAGAACTGTCGGATATTTATATTAAAAAGCCAAAATTTTAATAACGCGATGATTTTATTTTAATTTGTTTATTTTAACATTCAAGTATTTAAATTTCACGTAAAATATGCATCAGACGCAAGAAATCAGTCAAAAATATGAATTGTACAGGAAATCGAATAACAAAATTATTCATATTACATAATTCTTTGAGTCAATTAAAATATTGTGGCAGTTGGCTCACATAAATAAAAAAAAATATACAGCCTAACTTTGGTGGTAATGTAGCCAGTGTTGAATTCGGCGGCCAAAAATTTGAATATTTTTGTATAAATTTTCCTTCAAATATTATCTTGTCCGCCCCCATATCAATCTCTGAATAGTAATGCTTATAAATATGTATACATTTTGTTTTTTCTGACTGGCCTGGCATTGGGAAGCAAAAAATATATTTTCCTTATTACAAAATATAATATAATAGTTTTATATAGAATTATTTGATATTTTATTATTTGGCATTTAGTGATACCAAGCTAGGAAGTTTCTAATATTTATAATTATGCTAATCAATATTATATTTTGTATTTAATAATAAAAAAATTATTCTCTACATTGTAAGTCGATTAGAATTAGCGTTGTTTTTAATTGTATTTTTAACCATATACAATGCAACTTTTGCAAAAGACATCTGAGATAAAAGCTATTGGCACAGTTGAATTAAATTAACTAACAGTATCTGTGACAAAGTTTATCAAAAAATAAAGGCTATCGTAAAACATACCTATTCTTAAAGAGGACCTACTACAGTTATACCTATGATATTTTTATACTAAAAAACATAAAATTGAAACTAACTTTCAACTAAATAAAAAATATTTTTTAATAAGTTTAAAAGATACATTAGTGCATACTAAAATTTAACTGTTTGCAATTATTACTATTCTTATTTTTTCGTCTTCTAACTTCGTGATTAATTAGGAATAATAGTGTCTTTAATTTAAATGTTTTATGAACTCACCGAAGGCCACACAGAACACTGTAAATACGCTAACAACATACCGCGACATTTTCACCTACTGTCCGTATCAAACGCGGCAATCGTATAAATACGCCGCCGAATCGCTAGCGCTTAAAGATTGCAATAAAAAGTTGAATGCCTTTAAAAGCGCGTCCTCAGAGAGGCAATAAATTATTGTAAAATAAATTCTTTACAGATGAACTTTCTTTAACATCATCATCATCAACATCATCATCATCATGTCTTGAATACTTATAAAATAAAATAAAAAACTATTTATCCAATATGGAGCGCGTTAGTAGTATCTAGAGTAATAATATGTATTTTTCGTCCTAGATGAATACTATTGTAAAGAACATGCTTTTATAGAAATTAAATAAAATTACGTATAGCGCTGGTGTCAATAAAATAATTAATTGATCAAGTCCGCATGACACGATTAACAACCCTTATCAAAGATATTGCTGATCTTATCTTGCACGATCATATTTTGACTTTGACGAAATTCACAACACGTGTAACTTGATATCCAAAAAAAAGCAGACTTTAAGTGTTCTTGTTTGGAATCTATGTATACGAATAGTAAAATAACAACAATAGCAATAATTGATTAATTAGATTATTATAATTAGATTTTAAGTACATCGATTTTGAACCAGAAGGCGGTTGGATATATAAATCGTATATTATATAACGCAGCCTCGACCTCATGATCTTGCCAACATTATCAATTTCCAGACTCCTTTGTCCTTTACTAAAATAACTTATTGTTGTCTGGGAACCGCGAAGAGTTATTTATTGCATTTCAAGTGAATGCATCGCCGACTACATTATTCTTTCTTTGTTATGCTTCCATTGTTAGGTGAGGGAAATAAAACTAACTTTCACTTTAGCCCACATCCACAAATGATGTTAAAGAATTATTTTTCAGCATTCGCTAAAACTTTGTATTTAAATGTTATTTTTATCGTAAACTTTAACATATCTGCGTGTTTTTCTTAATCTGTGCTCTCACCCGTCGGACCCGCCTACTATAGAGCCTGACTGTCGGTTCATTGAGAACATCGTCTAAATACGTCACTAGCCCCTAGCTCCCTAACAGGGAGAAGTAGGTATGTCTTATAAACAAAGAACATACTCTATTAGCTTAATACCTTATTAATTTTGGAGATAAGACAAAGAAAAGTGCTTTTATCCATTATCTGCGATTGCAGGCAACTTGCATGATTGTTAATAGATATTGCGTTTCGATTCTGAGTTTTCTTATTTCAAATACGCGACTGTGGAATTACCAGAATCATAAAACATTACTTTGTCAAAACGAATTTTAACTTTGTTTCTATCATCGTATCGCGCTCACGCGAGTGGGCAATAAAATGTATACAAACAATATTGATTGCCTCAGCCTATAGTATTTAACGTCTCAGTGAACAAACCACATCATACAATTGGCCAGTCGACAAAAAATAAAAAGAAAAATTTTAAAAATGCGATAATAAGCAACTGTGCTTCTGAAATCAAACACATGATAATGCAGCATGCCATTGTGTATAGCAGACTTGGGACTCAGTCCGTTTTCTTAAGTTTACCAGGTCAAGTGTCCGTTCCAGACTCTTATGATCGTGATACAAATTGGGCCATCGTGCAATCGCCGGCGCCGCTTTACAAGGAATTATTGACCTGTTTGCTTAATTCTGCACGTGTCATTTGTGACATACAGTGACTTGTATATTGATGTGCTGGACTTCTCTGATTACAGGCGACGGGTCGGATTTTAACACGAAAACTATTTTATGGCTATATGGCCCATTTTACAAAAATCAAAGTCAAAATCATTTATTCACGTAGGTAAAACTACCTAGTTACTAACGTTCGTTCTTATAAACGTCACACCAGTTAAAAACTGAAGACTAGTTACATAGTACCAGATTTTAAAACAAGGGAGAAAAACTGGCAAGAAACTCGCCGCCACTTCTTTTATCTTGTATTGAACAGCATTATTATAATGATATTAGGGAAGCAAGTTAAGTGTTTACACGTGTAATTTTCCGATAATCGGCCGACCCCAAAACAAATGTGGAAAATTTTTGGAAACATTCAGAAACAGATATCGGTGCACCTCATTGGTTCAAGTTTATTTGTGACCCGGACAGATAAATGCTTGCGATAAACCTTTAAAAAACTTTAAATAACATAACTCTCCTACATGTAATGTAAATAAGGTAAAATTAATACTAATTCGCATCTTTGTCTTTATGTTTAGTCTGACACACATATTTTAAAAAAGAGAAAATATTAGCTATGTGTATAGTAAAAGCATTTCTCATATGGCTTCAGGTTACGTCCACCTCGCCAGCTGAAAATTAACGCAATATTATTCTAAGGATCTTACTTTAAAACGTATTTCTATAGTCTAACTTACTCGGAGTCTAGAAGAGGTACATCTTTGAATATAGATCGAGAATTATCCAAACGAGTTCGCGGCAATAACCTAGCAGTAACCAATTGATAACGCTTGATAAGACAATGCACAATGATTCCGTATAGTGACAGCGAACGGATTTGAGACGAGGTCGGGGGTCGCGCCCTGTATCTCGCTATCTGCATGCATTGCCGGTGCATGCCATTATCAATCAAAACATTTTATTTACGTAATATCTACCTATATTAAACGAAAAATAGGTAACCAATTACAATCGTAAAAACATTTATGGATGTTTGTTACTCTTTTACACAAAAACACCGAATCCAGTGTTGAATTTTTGTGCTATTGTAGGTAACGCGTAGATTTATTTTATCCCTAAACGTGCTATGCTCCTACTGGATAAACGAGAGCAATATACTAGCTGAACTAAGATTTTTTTCGCCACATGAAGTATTTCATTGAAATTTAATTTCCATAAAATGGTTCTCTTGTATTATTTATATATATCTTTTCTATATATACTTTGGGTATCTGGAACGTCACAGACAGCTGTTTTATAGACTAAAGCCTTTCTCGATTAATGGTTTAACCGACGCTAAACTTTAAATTTTATGTTATACGTAACGTTTATAATATTCATATAATTTTTGTTATTAATTCTAATTCAATTTTAAAACTACGTAAATAACTGTGTTAGTTACAGAATAAAACCATAGTTCTTGGTAAAGGTTTAATGCTTTAAATGAGCCCAAATATTCGGTACCTACGGCGGCGCTTACTAGTTATTGCCAAGACCTGTCATATACCATTATCAATGAAACGGGTGTGAGAGATCAGAGGGCGCAACACGTGGAGCCCTGTTATTGTTTTTCTCGATTCTCGTCCTGCACAAATATCGCCATTAGGCGACCCCTGATAGCCTTTGCCTCGAGCCTTTATTTTATAATAACACACTAACACCCTTCCTGAAGAATTTTCTTTGGAAGACTTCGGAGATGATTTCGTATTTGACGATTCTTGAATGTATCATTATTGATTTAATTTATGTTCAGTAGAATTCTGCCCGATCGAATACAATTTACATTGTCCCCGGGAACCGAATCCAGGACTTTTCGTGTTTTATACTATGCTGGGCAGCGCGCTTAACCATTAACCAACGGACGGAGGTGGAGGATGATTCTTTCACACCTTTTATTTAACAGCCCTGGCAATTGCTTTGCAATCGAAAAAAGGTTCGTTTAAGAAAAGAAGTTATGTGAATAAAAATAGATCTTGAATTGATAAAGCTGTGTCGTCAATTGAATATGCTTTTTAAGCAGAGCTGCACTATCTCCACGAGTCAGGCTAATAATCTGTTTGTGTAGCTTATCGCTTGCATATGAAGTGACATCACGATTAGTTCATAACAATAATAAACACAAGGACATATGTTACGTTTAGTGCCAGAGAAGATTTTCAAGATTAGTACCTGTAGAGTACTCTTACTACTACGGCGTAAATAATAATTATAGAGCTGAATTTTATCTTTATGCCCGCGATTTAAGTGGACGAAAATAAGAATTCAAAGTGCATTGACAGTAGATACAATGAGTAATTAATTACCTCCAGACGAAATCGTAAAAATGCACGAAATAATTATTGGAGGTAGAGTTACGAATTCTTGTTATAGTCTGGACGCGAATTCTTAGAATGACCCTTCACCTCTGCGATTTTACTAAGAAGTATATTGTAAGCCTTATTCAGCACGGATTTTCTCTAAATATAAGCAACGCACTTACAAAAATACATGATCAGTAAAAGTTCTATAGGTTATAACAAAAACATCTCGAGTCAAAATTAAAATTACTATAGTAGTAGAAATAATATAGTACGTCTTTTTCTTTTAGTACTTATACATAATGGTACTTTCCAATTGAGATAGTAATTTTATTTCTCTTATTAGTTATGAATAATGTGGTGTGCCCTTTTTCAGACGGTGGGCGTTAAGTCAATATGGAGGACGAGGTGACGTTCCTCTTCCAGCTTGGCGTGATGCGAGACGCTGTTTCTGCGCCCGCGCATCGGCTTACACTAGCTCACCTCAAAGAACTTGCCGTTAAATTCGTGCATGAAAAGGTAAATACTAAATTCTCTGGTTGTTAAATATAGGCTAATAACAAGTTTTCGTAAATGTAAAGCTTGTAAGCATTATGTTAAACTGCTTTCTTGTGACAAAAAATATCATATATGTGAAATTTGCGATTATAAAAAAGTGTCACAAAGGGTTCACGTTGGAAATTAGTATGTTACTAGTCTTAAGAAGAATTTTATAGTTTGGTGTTGAGTTCCCTATAGTGCAAAGATTCGTGGTATTGCACACTTATACAAATACATAGGATTAATCTGTTTTATAAAAGAAAATTTTAATACATTTTTAGGTGTGTTATGTGAATAATTTATATCCATTTATAGATTTTTACAAAACTCTTTTCTATTTAGATTCCAGATAATGGCCTGAATCGACTGTCAGACAGAATTCTGCTATTTCGGCACGACTACTGCTCGCCGAATGTGCTGCAACTGATCAACTCCTCCACAGATGTAACTGACGAGACGCTCGTTGAAATTGTACTTACAGCAAATCGTAAGAAAAATAATTTTTAGTAATAGACACTGATACAAAATGGAACTAGTAGAAAAAAATATATCCCTAAAGATTTCCATTTTGGGCAGTAAAATGAGTCTACAAGTCTCTGTGTTATATTAGTTCTTTAGTGAAGAAAAGATAAACAAAAACACTTAGCGTGTATTACTTTAATAGATTTATCGTATAGTTTTAGTATAATTACGACTAACTAAGTTTTTTTAGACAGACCAAAAAAATATTTTTAAAATGACCAGTGACCAACCACCAAAAACGTTTAATTTAACGAGCTCATAATTGAAACCGGCTGATTTTTAATGAGCCATAAGCGTTAGGTTGCACGATAAAGTCACCTTGATACAAAAACAGTCTCTTGACAGAAAAACAAATGTACACAATTTTTTGTCGTTAAAACGTAAAGTTTAACAACATTAATAATGAGACGCAGTGCAAATATTTTAAGCAGCGTTATTTATAGTGTTACGTCAGTTTTTTTTTTCTTACAATGTTTATCATAACAAATCAAAAGACTCACTTCTAGTAATTCAATGTAATAAGTTCTAATGATTAACTATAAGAAAGAAATGCGAAATACTTATTTCAATAAAGACGGGGCGTTGACTCTGGATTAAGTGGAAATGTATGCACAGCTATAAATAAAATCGAAAAGCCGTTTGAGATAGAACAGTAAAATACTAACCAAACTACTAAATTTTCAGCTACGATATGTGATCACGGTACGGAACAACCTTTGTCCAGACCACACGCTTTGGCAGTGCATTCGTATAAAGCTCCCACATTTTGTGACTTTTGCGGGGAAATGCTCTTCGGTCTTGTGCGACAGGGGCTAAAGTGTGAAGGTAAGGTGAACAAATCTAAACAAAAATCCATATAAAGATTATTGCTTACATTAATGAACTGAAACGATATTAAGGAATTTGGAGCCAAAAAAACTGAATATCTCACTGACTTTCGTTAATTGCTTAAATAATACATAAGAAAGAAACAGGTTCCTGAATTTTGAATGTCACTTGTTGCTTTTCGTAGAGCAAAGAAAATTATTTCTTTTGAAATTATTTTTCCTGTGACGTTTCGGATGCTTTGCCGCATCCGTGGTCATGGAGAGATTTGCGTAAACTACAGACAGTATTTAATGAAACATTTCTTTGCAGGTTGCGGTCTCAACTACCACAAACGATGCGCTGTAAAAGTACCCTCGAATTGTGAGTCTCCCGTAACGGGGACGGGGTCAGGAGCGCCCGCTGCGGGGGCGGGTGCGTCTTCGCGACGTCAGTCCGGTGCCCCCCGCAGCCCTTCGCGAACGTCTGCGCATAGTCATACCTCGCACGAAGACTCGCTGGTAAGGAGGATTGCTGATCTGCTCAATTAAATGTTGTAGACCGTGTTTCAAAAATAATCTGCATAAATTTTGTAAGCTAACATGATCCGAAAACTTTAATATTTTTCATATGATGGCACTGTATAAATTAATAATCGATTAAATTGAAAAAAATTACGACACGGGTAGGTTTGAACCGGCAACCACAGCATTCCGTGCCATTGTATCAATTGCTCGAGAAGTGCATTTATAGGACTCGGTAGCTCAATTGGTTAGAGCAACAGCACGGAACACTGTGGTTGCCGGTTCAAAACTACCCGTGTTGTATTTTTTTTATTTATAATCGATTTTTAACTAACATGATCTATCATTTACTTTCGTAATCGATGACAAGATTGAATTGCGTAGAAAGACAGTTGAACGAATTACACAATTATATACATTGCACCTACGACAGACGTACCCTGGCTACAAGTTAAAAGACAATGAAATGTGTAAATATAATTATTATACCATCATTTTTACAACATTATCTTTTAAGTTGTGTATTTTTATATTTAGTGTTTTCAGCTGATCTTGACATTATAAATTATTTTAAATTGAATCTCATATTACATTCCGAGTTATATCATAATTATTTAAATGATGTTTTATAAAAGTTGTTATGTATTGCGTTTTTGCGAATATAACGTTTTAGTACTTATTTAAAGTATTATAATCCGTCCTAATTGTTTTAATTTATAATTAAATTATAACTTTTTTACTAACATCACGCATTGGGTGGTGGGTGAACTAATTGTTTCTGTTAATTTTTTATTTTTTAATAAATGTATTTTTTTTATTTCGAGTTTTATTTGACGGACCTCACCCACTACCCAATAAGATAAGTGTAGGTAGTTCACAAAATCAAGGATATGATATAATATGATTATATGATAAAATCTAAATGTTCAGTTACTTGTATATGTCAATGATTAGAAAATACAGATACAGAATTGTGCACAAAACTGACGTTGATGGAAGAATCCGGTATGGATTCTTCTCTCCATAGATCCATACAAATAAAACTGTACCTAGGAAAAATTTAGAGTTACCCGCTATCATACATGTATTTTTAAGTTATATCTAAGCACATAGAAACATGCCATGCTACATATGTGTTTACTACAGTACAAAACTTAAATGTCTTAGCCTTAAAAAAACTTAAGTACATTGGCGTCAAAATTTCATAAATCAGGGTAGTTCACGCCAATCCAAAACAGAACAGGACACAGAAAAAGTGAGTTGTCTGGTAAATGAAGGTGTACTTAAAAAGAAAAACGTTTTGCGTCTACTTCTTGTTTGTATTTATTAAATTAATATATTATTTAGTTGGGGAGCACAAGCAAGCGATCAACGAACACATGGCCGACAGCCAGCTCACTGGGCATCCCGCACACATTCCAAGTGCACTCCTATACTCGTCCCACGGTGTGTCGACTCTGCAAGAAGCTCTTGCGAGGTCTCTTCAAGCAGGGTTTACAATGCAGGGATTGCCATTACAACGCTCATCGGAAGTGTCTTTCGTTCGTGCCCAAGGACTGCGGTGGCGAGATACGGGATCTACACGGTGAGTATCAGTAAAAAGGGGCAATTGAAAGAGATTTTCCTAATGATTGAGGTGGAGAGACGAGCTCACTTGATGGTAGGTGAAAAATCCCAGCTATATAACGTGCAAACAAGATGCGGTGGACAACGCATATTTTGGCTGTGGATATTAAACTTCACGGCTTTTTCATACGTGGACGGTGGTGGATGGACGGAATTTCGACAATTCCACCAATTTAATATCCAGATTTCCGGACGAAGTGCTAGATGTTTCAGAAAAAAAAAATTGATCAGAAAAACGTTGGACCCGGTGGGATCAAATCACGACCCCTGGTTGTTGACCATAAATTGCTACCATTACACCAACGAGCCAATTATTTGAATATAACAACATTACATTGAGATTATAACAAACATAAATTGAGAAGAAACATAAATCTATAACATAATTTCGTAACAATATAGAAAATCATTTAGATGCTATGTATTTACCCTTGCTGAAATAACAGAAAGTAAACTTTCGATATTATTTAAATTACAAATGTATGATAAACCAAATTCACAGGAGAGTTTCAAGACAACTGTAGCACAAGTAGCGAGGTCTCTGATGGTTCCCGCGCCCCATTGGATGACGAATCAGACGAAGGAGACACAAATAATTGTGAAAATGACGAGGTAGAACTTCTTTTGTTTCATAGCTAAATCATAAATGATGACAATAATTATTGGTGCTTACGCCATGTAAATAAAACGCCTACGACAAGATGTCATTTTCTCGAAGCGTATTGGATCTTAACTGCCGCATTTACGATACAAATAAATCGTCATTTTAACGGTTTAAAATAGATTAAATAGTATGTATATGTGGTTTTTACTCTTCTAATGTTACTTGCATAAATTTCAGCCCGTGCAGCTACGGCGAAGCGAAACAGAAGCTGAAGAAGAACCACAACGCGATACTTCGCCTAGTAGACCTAGCAGGTAATTTAATCTACTAATTCATTACGTATAGAAAAAAATAATTCACAACTATTCGCTTATAAGAAACAATAAGGAGCAATGAAAAAATTAAAGAGCAAAAATTATTCTTATATTATTATAACATTTTTATTGGTATCTTATTAAGAAGCTTCAAATTTTATTCACAATTACAGCCTATTGTATATTAATTATGTGCTGGTAGAATTTCCGTGGTCTTAAAACATAAAAACATTAGGTTTTAATAAAATGAGACAAAACTGCAATTTTAGACAGATTGTTAAAGGATTGTCTGTAATTTACTATTGCACAGTTTAAAAGGCGAAATGGTAAAAACATATAAATAACGTTTGAAAACATAAAAAACATGTTTACATGTTATTGCACATGAAGGCACTATATAATTTAAAAATCGAAAATAAGTTGAAAAAAAGTTTCGACTCGGGCAGGACTAAAAAAAAAATCGACGATGAGGTGTAGGACTCGGTACCCCAATTGGTAAAACAACAGCACGGAACGCTGACGATGCCGGTTCAAGTCCTGCCCGAGTCGAAAATTTTTTCAATTTATTTTCGATTTTTAAATTACATTTAAATAACTTAACTATTATATATGTGTTTTATTCCAAAAATTACATAGATTAGATACATTAGATAACACATATCTTAATATATTATTATATAATTCAATATTAAATAAAATAAACTATATTTAGTTTTTTTTATTTAATAAAAAAGAGTTACACATAACTCTTTTTTGTCATCTCTATTTGAACTAAAAACAGAGTAACAGAATTTTATCAAACTTTTTCAGTTCATCATCATCACCTAGCGCGAACATTCCGTTGATGCGTATCGTACAATCGGTGAAGCACACAAAGAAGCGGGAGGGTCAATGGCTGAAGCAGGGCTGGCTTGTGCACTTTACTAACAAGGATACTACCGTGAGTCTTAGCACTATTGACTAAATAATTATGCGACGTGGAAAATGATTTATTTTTGCACATTAAGCAATCGATTGTTTGATAAAGATATCTTTCTTCCTTTTTTAGCTTCGCCGTCACTACTGGCGAATGGACAGCAAATGCATAACGTTATTTACTTCGGAACATGGCACCAAGTACTACAAGGAAATACCTCTGAACGAGATATTGGCTATTGACACAGCGAGACAGCCACACTCGGGTTAGATATATATTATGTACAAATCTCATTTGGTGTTCCAAGTTTCAGAACAGACACTTGAAGTCTTTCATACAGAGAGACTTTAAAATCGTTAACACTCGGGACTCGTACGTACGACTAATCACCTTCTGTGACGTCTCTGGCTGCTGAGTTATATGATACCATTTAAATAAAACACTTTAACGGTTTAAAACGCTATATATTAGTTAAACTTGATTTGAAAATGATTTTTAACTTCAGCAGCCGTGGTCACGGGGAGACTAAAGATGGAGGATGTCTCTGACGTCAAAGTAAAAAATTGCTACGCTAGCGCCATCCGTTCCGTTGAAGTTGGTATTTGGCGAAACAAGCCGGGTCCTTACAGGTTGGTATTTGGCATTTGGCAGTTTCGACAAATTCCAAATACCAACGCGTAAACTATAGACAGTATTTATATGATACCATGTTTAAAATGTTTTTTTTTTTAATTAAAATTATTGTTTATTGTTGGATGTTTATACGTTTAAAAGTTGTTTTATTACATTTTATATTTTTTATTACTACAGTAGCCTATATTTTTTAACAATGTATACATTTTTAACAGAGGTCATGCACTGTTTTGAACTGCGTACTGCCAACGTGGACTATTTGGTGGGTGCAGAGGAAGCTGGTTGCTCGCCACCGGAATCAGGTTTAGGGGCGTACCTCGCTCGCTCTTGGGAGACTGCCATCAGACATGCGCTGCTACCACTTAATCTAAACGTATCACGAACCGGTAAAGATTTTTCTGTTTTTATTTCCTAGAATTAGGCTTTTCACTTTTTTATGATAGAGGAGGACAAACAAGCATGTAACCCCGCTTGACCCTAGCCATAAGACATCTAGTCAAGATGCGCTGTCGGTGTATTCTGGCTTGGAATATTTAGAAATAAACAGGCTGAAACCGACAAGCGATTAAACTTCACCGCTTTTCCTTTCCAGGTGAAGGTCAAGCAAGCAAGAGCGAGCAGCGTGCAGAAGGTGGAAGAGTGGAAATGTCGCAGCTGTACCAGATACACCCAGACGAAGTCCTGGGCTCAGGACAATTTGGCATCGTATACGCGGGTTTGCATCGAGATACACAACGGCCTGTTGCTATCAAGGTTTGTTACCAATACCATAGAAACAAGTGCATCCGAGTACTAGAAATATTTTTTAAGACGTAAATATTATATGACGTAGTTTATAATAATTCAAAATTCAACTTATGAATAGGAGACAACTTTAAAAAAGGCTTTACCTTATTCCAGGTAATTGATAAACTTCGTTTTCCAACGAAACAAGAGGCGCAGCTAAAGAATGAAGTAGCAATACTACAGAACTTGTCTCATCCTGGAGTCGTAAACCTGGAGAGAATGTTCGAGACGCCGGAGAGAATTTTCGTGGTCATGGAACGGTTGAAAGGGGATATGCTGGAGATGATCCTGTCACACGAAAGGGGAAGACTGCCCGAGAGGATCACCAAATTTGTGGTTGCTCAGGTATGTTCTAAAGCTAAAAGGCAAAAAAATTAGAAGCTTAGTGTTTGTCCTGCGTTGCCTTAACGCAATAATTATGTTTTTTTGGACTACCGACTAGTAGTATGAACGTCAACATATTTTGTCAAGTATAAATTATTAGCTATAAAATTCCAGAAGACAGTTCCAGTTGTTTAATATCTTCCTTTTAATAAATAAAAAAATATTTCCTTCTTTCTTTTACAATACAAGTGTAAAAAAATATTATTTTAATTTAGCGTACTTAGAATAAAAATAAGTTTTATATATTGTTAATTTACAGATTTTAGTCGCCCTGAAACATTTACACGAGAAGAACATAGTGCACTGTGACTTGAAGCCAGAGAATGTTCTACTTTCCTCAGATGAACAGTTCCCTCAAGTGAAGCTTTGCGATTTTGGATTCGCTAGGATTATTGGGGAGAAATGCTTCCGACGGTCTGTTGTCGGTACACCAGCGTACCTGGGTAAGTGACATTTAAGTCACTTTGTTTCTCCGTCCTTTCCGTGAAAATTTGAGACGTATTTAATTCTAATGTAACGGGGATTTTTTTTCCTAACAATAGCTCCTGAAGTACTCCGCAACGCCGGTTACAACCGATCCTTGGACATGTGGTCTGTGGGCGTCATTATCTATGTATCTCTATCCGGAACGTTTCCCTTCAATGAAGACGAAGATATAAACGAACAAATTCAGAATGCGGCTTTCATGTACCCACCAACACCGTGGAGGGAGATTTCGCCTGAAGGTACACATTTCTATTCTTCACATTTATGTCTTCTGTATGTTTGAACCATTTGGTACAAATCATGTTTATACCAAGTAGTAATGGTGATTAAATGTTTATTTAAATTTATTTCAGCCATTGACCTTATTAACAATCTGCTTCAAGTGAAGCAACGCAAGCGATTGTCGGTAGACAAATGCGCGGCACACGCTTGGCTCCAGACCCCGGAGGCGTGGGCGGATCTAAGAGCCTTGGAGCAACTCGTCGGACAACGGTACCTCACCCACCCCAGCGATGACGCGAGATATGCAGACCGCTGACCGTGAGTAAATCCAAAGACTAATTTTTAATCTAAAAGGCCTTGTCACAATATGTAACTTATATAGTTCTCCCAGCAATATGTACCTTGCAGATGTTACAATGTTAAGTAATATTAAGATGGCGTTGGTTATAATGGAAAATTAGTAAGCTGAAATTTGCTATCTATAATTTTAGATTACTTATATTATAAGACTATTATAAACATTTAATATTATAGATATATCTATTAGATCTTTTAAAATGGTTTACGACGCGAAATATATTACTAAACTTATTTACAATTTATAAATAATAATTTTAAAATGTAACTCCGCCAAAATACCTAAACTAGGGTTTATGTTACATAAAAATCTGGCTCGAAGGACTAAAAAGTGTCTATTGTGTCAACATGCTTTTGAACTAAAACAATATTTTATTATTATGTAGCAATTTCATGTGGGTTGTGAGGACCAGCGTGAAAAACAAATGATGACACTTATTTTTTGCGCAGAGAGCCCGAAATGTGCTCCGATGAGAGTGCATCTCGCCGCTCTTCCGTGGGCTGCGTGAAGGTGCGGCTCAGGTGGAGGAAGCTGCTTGTTAAAGTCAAGTGAATGTAAATATGTATGTATACCTAAGGACACTTATATTGGATGGACGTTTTTGGTCACATGTTTTTTAATATGATGGGTTACTAAGTCTTAATAGGACCCTTTTAACCCTACCAAGCATTGTTTTAGTAAACATATATTGTTTAATTATGACACGACCTCATTTAACGTACGTACTATACCATAACAGATACGTCAAAAAGTCATCATATAATCTTTATGAAGGCAGCTTCATTACAATTGTAGACTATTGAAATAAACTGAATTCCGGTTTTAAGATTATTAATTTTACATTCCGAAAATTGCATTTGAATTACTGAATGCTATCTTTACAATACAAAGTATATTCTTTTAAATCTAATTTATTATATTCTTATGTCATAAGCATATGTCAATATGTAAGTCTTTTTGTATTTTTTAAATGAGATTATGTGTATAAACGTTTATGTATTAAAGAAATAAATAAACATAAGTAGGTAAGACTCATTTGATTAGTACAAATGTTAAATTATTGTTACGGCCTAAATGTTAGGATTATGATCATAATAATTTACATTGTTGTCTAAGAATATATATGTATAAATATAAAAACACAATAGGACGACATAAATATTTTTTTAATATTTTGTTTGATCATACAGTGCCAAACAGATTATTACAATTATTATTATATAAAGTGCATCGTCATATTTTTAAGAATCTTAAATTCTTATTTAAATTACCAAATAGCTGAAGAAGACTTATTGCGTACCTACTAAAAATATGACGAGACTAATTTTTAAATTCAATACATTAGAAACAGCACGCCAATTTTGGTCTATTTCGAGTTCTTTCTCTTAAACTATTCTATCTTAAGATACCTAGACTTTAATAAAAATATTAAACCGCTAGTTTAGAGTTACAAGTTTATCCAGTGAACGTGGAACTTTTTGTCCGATCTGAACACGAGGCGGATAACTGCGCAGATCTTTCGAAATAAAATGTTGACTTAACCGTGCGACCGTACACGATGCAACTTCAGACCGGTCTAGAAGTTCGACGATTGCTGTACCACATCCTACTATTTGAATAACACTAGTTATACAAAGGCACACGCCTTACCCTAACGGCCTAATAGTTAAGATTAATGTAATATTGTTGTGGTGCCAATTGTGTTGTATCTGTCTTTATATCTATATTATATTATATAAAAAACTTTTTTATTGATGGTAGTTTGTCAAAAAATGGCACTAATTAATCATATTTTAAGGGGAAATATAGAATAAACGCCTCTTTTTATTCATAATATTTACACTCGGTAATTAGGACCTACTAAATAGGTATCCTTTACAGGCAGTAAATGGTGTGAAAAGTATACAAATATTTTGTTTTTCTTGTAACGAAAAAAAAGTCCTCGCGTATTTTAAAAGAACCAAAATAGTAATACTTTAAATATTTGCCAACATGTTTTCCGAACGGTGCCAATAAAAATGTCTTGTTTCAAGTAATATTACTAATCAAAGGTAAAAAATATGCAAACTAGCGCTAGCTCCACTCTAAACTCTATTACCTGTAAAATTTTTGAAAATTGTGCACACCCGTCTAATTTGGTAGTAGGTCCACTTTTTGTTTTAATATTGATATGCCTGTCAGTCGTACTCGTAAAACTGTACCCAGATATAATAATTAATAGTACTGCTCATCACAATATCACATATTTTTACTTACTATTAAAAATACCACTGTAAATGCATCTGTATAAACAACATTTGTACTATTACGACGCATTTAAATGGTTGTTTATTTTAAAATTAGGTTTTTGACGTTTATAAAATACTAAATATTTGAATGTGAAATAATTGCTCGTAAAGACGTGTTAAGTAATCAGACCCAATATTACAGAGTAATAATGATACCGGTGGAGCAAATCATCTTATATAAATCTGTTGTTAATTATCGACAAAGTTTAAAATCGTGAATCATCTATATCGTTATTAATCTATATAATTGGGTCTTATTCTATGAAATATATCATCACAAAGAAACTGTGATTTTGTTAAACTCCAGCAAAGCTTCCGTTATCTGTGATCTCTCTCGCACTTACAATTTAATGCAATGCTAATATTTTATATAGTTTTAATTAGGTATATAATAACTTATATCTAATCAGGCTAAAGGCCGAATCAGCTAAGTACTGTAGGCAGCCTATATTATTTATTGCAAGTTTTTATCTCTAATAATCAAGATTCATATTAATATATACAGAAGTACTTCTCACAATGTTCAGAAAAGTCACTTGTAATCTTTTAAGCTTTAATTACTTTTTAGTATTATTTCTTTATATATTTTTACGACCCCTCGGACCATGTTTCTAATATATTAAAAAGGAGATTTTTAATTGTTAATAATGAAAGTGTTTGTACCCTTTGTACTGTAACAGATTATATTTTTAGCTGTCAAAGTGATATATTCTGTAGTTTTGTTATACAGTAATAGTTTTTTTAATGTTATGCTTTTGTATACAAATTGGTATGCGTACATTATGATAGGGGAAAATTTGTAGAATTACAGGTAATTTATTTTTAAAACTGTTATTTCTAAGATAAATTTTTCGATTTTATTAAATTTAATGTTTTTGATTTTATAAATAATTTTCCTGACGACGGTTTCTTATATGGAATAGACGGAATTATACAGAAAATAATATTACTAATTTAAATAATAAATGAAGATATGTGTACGACTTGTTTTTTTTTAATATCTAAGCTAATAATGAACCTTATTATTATATTTATAATCCCAAATGATAGAAGCTCTGTTACGATTACTGCTTGATATACGAATTGCTCGAGTTAAATTTATATTTCTTTGAGCAAATGGGCGTAGTTTTATTACTTTTGAGGTAGTTCCTGGATCTCTAGGTGCGTTTCACGCATCAGTATAAAGTCGTTACAGTGATCAGCCGAGATGAACGATAGGGCTGCTGCATTCATAAAAATATAAAAAAAAGAATTAAACACAATCTACAACAATAAAGTAATACTTTTTTCACGGTCCAGAAAATTATAATTCAATTCACTAAGTTTTCTTGATTTGTCTGTCCTAATATTAATATTCAACATTACTTTTAAATAAAACACTTTAACGGTTTAAAACGCGATATATTAGTTAAACTTATTTGAAAATGATTTTTAACTTTGGCCCGACGTTTCGGATGCTTTGCAGCAGCCGTGGTCACGGGGAGACTAAAGATGGAGGATGTCTCTGACGTCAAAGTAAAAAATTACTACGCTAGCGCCATCTGTTCCGTCGAAGTTGGTATTTGGCGAAACTGGCCGGGTCCTTACAGAATTGACTAACGGTGACACCGTTAGTCAATTCTGTCTAATATATCGCGTTTTAAACCGTTAAAGTGTTTTATTTAAATGTGTACTACTCGCGTAAACTATAGACAGTATTCAACATTACTTGCTAATCGACATGAGACTTTATGGATTAAAAAAAATAATATAAAATTATATATGACATTGGTGGGACTCGAAAAAACGACCATTAGTTTTTTTTTTCCAGATGTTTATAAAAATGTCAATAAAAAGTGTGACAACCTTTACATAACTGTCCTCTAACAGCTTGAACTTATAGCACAGTTGACAACACAACACTGAAGTGACCAAGCTAACATGTACATTTTTCTGCTTTTACTCGTTAAAGTAAGCTGTGAGTGGGTCGAGATCTCTCAAAACTATTACAGACAGGACCCACCGAGACTTAAACAAAAAGTAATAGAAGAAGTAGAATATAGAAACCAAACAATGACGCCGCAGTGGAATAGAGCGACGATAAATAAAGTTTCAAACGTCGGTAACATACAAAGGGTGCCTTATGCAAGTGTTAAATCACCGTATGTTCGTCCCAACTCAGAGAAGACATCCCCAGGCTTTTCGCCAACTGAATCTTCCAAAACTGGAATAACTAGCTCAAGACCGCTCTCTTCTCTTCAAGCTGATAACTTGGACATGGAAAGAATTCACACACGAAATGAAGTCACGTATAAAAACTCCTCCATATTTGAGAAGCCGAAACTTAACAATTTGGATAATACATTTGCCACTCTCCCTGATTTAGATGAAAGTAAAAGGGAAGATCTAAGTGATAAAATTACACGACATAATATTCTTAATGGACCATCAACGATAAAGCATGAATTAAATAGCACCAGATCTCACCACGTCAATAAAGGTACAATAAATAAAATACAATATTCTGATAAACAATTAAATGACGCTCCGATTCCGCAAGAAAATAAATTGGAGGGTATTTGGAAAGCTGTTAAACTCGTCGCTGATACAATATCGAAGCACAGCCGAAAGAGTTTAAAAAGTAAGGTTCGATATCTCGAAAACTTGCGGAAGATTATTATGACGAGTGTCGGTAAGCTTCTCTTTCTTTTAAATTTGTACTTCTTTACGTCTTTTAGCCATGGTTGTATGTAGACGTAGATTTAAGTTTAGATATATATAATATAGATACCCATATGAGTAGATGTTCCAAGTTTTACCACAAAGCAGACCTTTGGAGAGTAATCACAGAACCTGTTAAAGTAGTTTAAAATTATATTGTGTACAGCATATAATGTTTAGGCTATTATTAATATTGATCAGTTATACAGAAATAGAAATGTGATTGCCGTTACCCTATCACCCACCTAGAGAAATCCTCTCTCAATGTAATGTAGATTTTAGACTAATTGTTTACGAGCAGATAAAAATCACTCACATACTAAAATAAACAAACAAACATAAAACATAACAATATGGACTTCAAACATATTAAAACTAAATATCGTATGCGATATAATCCAGTTTTAATTTTATTTTAGAAGACAAAGTAGACCTTGTGTGGCCCGATGATGCAGTGCCACGTAGGGTATCCCGTTCATCTGAATCTCGGGGTCACGTCGAGATACCCTCTTCCGAGGGTGCACTAATGACGATATCCTTTTTAACTTTTGCTGTGTTCCTCATAAAATTAGTCCTGGTAAGCACATAAGTAATGGAATTGAATATATTTATTTCCATAATTTTTATTTTTCTTTATTGTTGAAGTAGGTATCTATGTAAGATTTTCTATCCAACATTTTTTTAACTCCTTATGGCTAAATTTGGTATATGTGATGCTTTATACTTCAAATATTCGATGTAGTCTCACTGGGTATAATGTTCTTATTTTCAATTCATAGCAAGTAATCCACACATACAAGCAGAAGGCTATGATGGTCACTCCAACTGTGGTTGCTGCTGTGGGCCGAGCTTCAAGAGTAATCAAGCAGAATCCTCACTAATTTCGAATATAACTTATAATAAACTGTTTATATCTAATTACATGTTTATATTTTTTTCTTGTGCCTCAACGTGCAAAATAGACATAACACATGCTATTGTTAAAATTCCCGCGCTTAAAATACGTCACTATTCTTTATGTTCGGTAAAATTTTTGGCTATGCCCTAATAATGTACCCTATAATCTGTGAATAATACATATAACATCTGATTGCACGTACATGTTTCGTATCTGTAGTTCAGACGTGTTTATTTATATTTAATTAAATATTTTGTTTCGAAATATAAGAATCCCACATAAAAGGTTTACAGTTACAATTAGGATTAAAATGAGTGATTCCACTGACGAAGACGTAGTTAAGTTATTAAATACAGGAAAACTACAAAGTGAATATGCTCTCGCCGGTCCTTCCCGAATATTTCCCGACGGTAACTTTAATTTAACATCTTCAAGAAGAATTTATTATTCACAAAAGAAAAAGTTTTACACAAGAAGTTATAACTTTTGCACATTTCATATGAAGTATTTTGTTACTGTTGTTTGGTGTATAAAAACAAGTCTTTGTATTTACAGAACAAACAGATTTCTCGTATGTATGTCGAATATGTGCTGTTAAAACACACAATATCCTGCCGCTATTTGAAAAAGAATGTTTGGAACAAAATCTTGTTGAGAAAATTAATAAATATCTTCCTATAAAGGTAAAGTATAGAGTAATATCCTTAACATAAAATTTTGGGTAACTTTAACCTAATAAATTAGAATGGACCAACTCTTTATTCTTAATTATATCACAGGTGTCGAAAGATGACTTACTACCATCAGGTGTGTGTGAACAATGCTCTAATGCAGTGCATGCATGGCATGAGTTGGTTGTTTGTTGTCTCCAAGCTGATACATCATTTAGAAAACGGATATCACTTTCTCAATCACAGGTATAATAATTCTACTTTGCCAAAATTGTGTTGACTGTAACCTAGCATTGCTTTAAGTACTAGAAGCATTATAAGAGTTTGAATAACATTTTAGTGCCTACTTGACATTGGTAAACATGTTAAGCAGGCACTAAAGACTGACTGTTAAAGAAAACAAGATCTAATTGTACAGTAATACTCTTTACATCAAGAAAGATTGTACGTAGTTCAATTAAATAAGGCATTTTGAGTTTTGAATGATTGACATTTTTATCAAATGGTGTGGATTGACCACCCTGAACTTCTATCGGTGTCCCCAATAGATATTAATAATACTAAGATTGCTTTCTAGAAACCATGGTAAACATAATAATTGTGAAATACATATAAGAGATTTCATATAAATGTATGTATATTTACAGCCAACACTCACCTCCGATATAGAACTAGACAAAAATGGCATTCAGTGAGTATTTTATATTTATTAATATGAATTAAATCTGTATCTTTATATCATAGGTATTGTCTGTGTACTACGCGAGTAGTACACCTTAAAATAAAGCACTTTTGACGGCTTAAAAAGCGAATTTCATTGGGCTATTTTCACCTACGGCCCAACGTTTTGGATGTTTTGCGTCGGGCCGTAATTAAAATAAATAAAAACTAAGTTATTAACTAATCTCATTCTCAGTTTAATCTATTAAAAGTGTTTTTGCTAACATATTTGCCCTTTTATTTTTTATAGTTTAATAAATTTCAACCTATATTATTCAATGCTCTAGTTAGTACAAATATTATTGCAACAAAATGTGGAGCACCTTAACGCGATAATAAGCGTTGCCCGCCTTTTCAGGTGCAAAAAAGCAGTTCTGTTCCTTACATTGGTTAATAACGTATTATCAGATTATCTGAAAACAAATAATATGGAAGATTGTGATTGGGCATATGTATGCCAGAAGTGTCCCGAGAAGCCTGTCTCTATGTCTATTCTAGAACTCACCACGCACTTGAAGTTAAAGCACTATGACGAACTACACAATAGGCAGAAACTAGAAGAGTTTATTACTATGCACATAACTTTTGATACGGTCCTACTCAGTGAATTTGAGATGAATGATCCCAATGAAACCGAGGCATCAAAGGCTACTAAAGATGTTGCTTGCCTGTACTGCAATAGTTCCTTTTCGTCAACAAAACGACTTGTCTTTCATCTCAACCAACACATTGATATAACAGAAAATGGCGGCATACCATGTTGTGAAGAAAGCTTTGACGACTTAAAGCTATTTGAACAACACTTACGTAACGACCATACTAGAAAACTTGCTGCGCACGAATGTAAATCATGCGGCTATCCGGCGTCCGATACACAACATCTACAACAACATATAGAGGCTGAACACCGAGAATTTACGAAAAAGAGTCCAAAGAAATCACAGAAATCCAACGAGACGAGTCAAAAATGCATCCCAGCTGTGTGTCCCATATGCAACAAAACATATTCCAATAAATACAACATGTTCGTTCATATGGAGAGTCATAAAACGCGAGAAGAGTTCACTTGCAATAAATGCGATAAGGTGTATTTGAGCAAAGGTAGCTTACAAAAGCATACTAGCTTGGTGCACGAGGGCAAGCTTCCATACCCGTGTTCGGTGTGTGGCGAGACATTCCCAACACGTGTAGCGCGCACTGTGCACTTCATGTTGCATACTGGTGATACACCCTACAGCTGCGAGTACTGCGGTAAAGCCTTCCGAGCGAAGAACACGCTACGATGCCACCTCGAATCACATCTAGATATACGAAAATATGAATGCACCGTTTGCTTTAAAAAATTTAGAAAGAGCACGCATCTTAAGTATCACATAACCACCCACGAGAAGAAACTGATTAACTAAAATTATTTGTTGCAGATGGACGGATGATACTATCTATCTCAATGGAGATGATTTCATCGCATATTCTAATGAATTAAACAATGAAGTTTTACAAAAACGAGATAACGACACTGATAGTATATCAGACAATGAAGATGAACCGCTCTCTAATATAGCCGCTGTACAAAATACGACCTCGTCCTATGAAAATTTTTATAATGCGTTAATTAAATTTCGGAATCATTTCGCTCAGGGGCATGAAGGACGCACATATCCCGATTTTACAGAGTCCAGTTCAGACGAAGAAACTGGCGAGGTGGATATCAATGAATATGACGATTTAAGTAAAATTAACATGCGCAGAGATAGGATGGACGAAAAAACGCGATTGGAACTGAATGAAGTGCAGTCCAAAATCGACGGGAAAGTGTTTTTCACTTGTAAATTATGTGGGAAAAACTTAAGTTCCTCGCATACATATTTGTTTCACAAAAACATTCATACGGGAGAGAGGCCGTGCGTCTGCCACGTTTGCGGCAAGACTTTTAGCGCACCTAGCGGTCTGCAGCGACACATCAAAGAAACTCATGAGAGGATAAAACGCTATGTGTGCGCGCTTTGTGCTAAAACGTTTGTGAACTCGCAGAATCTGCGACAGCATATGCGGGTACACACAGGGGAGAGGCCGTACGTCTGTCCACAGTGTGGAAAACGATTCACACAAAGCGGTTCGCTTCATGTACACCTGAGAATTCATACAGATTCTTATCCATTTAATTGCACAGAATGTGGTGCCCAATTTAGAATACGATCTGGTTTATCGAGACATAAATTGAAGCATAGTGGTGAGAGACCGCATGTTTGTGTTAACTGCGGTAAGAGTTTTCGCCAAAAACATGAATTAAATAGCCACGCCCTCACTCACAGCAATGCTAAACCTTTCTCCTGTGTTGTATGTGGTGCCGCTTTTCGTCAAAGGAGAGCTTTAAGGCATCACAGGAAACGGTTACATGAAAACGTAGAAGTATCCAACAATGAGTATGCTCAAATTCCGTACTGACTGGAAATCCTTGTAAATATAGACTTTCTTAACCAAATATATGTATTCATACGTAAACGTGTTTCTATTTTAATATTCCGTCTTAGAATTAGACAAGAAAACGTCTTAAAAATAGTAACTTACATACCTTTGTATTATGTGATTCTCTTAAGTATAAAATCTATGTTATTACAATTGAACCTAGTATTTTAGAATCAATTATTTATTTATGGAAAAAGGAAAACAACATCTTATTAACTTTTCAAAATATTCAACCGTAAATTTATTTATTTAAAATAAAAATAAATAAAAAAATAAAATAAAAAAATTAAATTCCATTTCAGCTTAATGGACGAGATCAAAACAGAGGATTGTGTGGCTTCCTTAAAACTAGAAAGAGAAAAAGATTCTACGTGCACTTTAAAAAATAAAATGTCAGATAGAAAGTGTAACATTTGTAAGACCTGCAACAAGCAAGTGCTTGTCTCGTCGTGGAGACGCCACGCGCGCGCTCATCTAGACGAAAAGATATACAGTTGTGACGAATGTGGATTGGGGTTTAAAGATAGTGGAAATCTATCGCGACATAAACGATCGCTCCACCTTAACTATAGACCACACACTTGCAGCATTTGCTCTAAACACTTTTCCAGAAATAGTCATTTGGAGAACCACTTGAAGACTCATTCGGAACATCGTAATTATGTTTGTGACCTCTGCGGGAAGGCTTCCAAATCCGGCAACGCATTAAGAATGCACAAAAAAGGTCACGAAGCAGTTCATCAATTTGCGTGTATCTTGTGCGAATCAAAGTTCAAAAGGAAATCTGAACTTTATGCACACGTGTCTGTGCATACCGGAGAAAAGGCTCATATCTGCAAATGCGGCAAAGCTTTTAGATTACGAAGCCAGCTTAATCGTCACTCTCGATTGCATGATCCTTTGACGACAGAAATAATTTGAAAAATAACATACTGCTTTGTTGCAGGTTTACGAAAAAGTATTTGGTACAAGTTTTGCCCGCCCCGCCATACACCGATAGGCTCGAAGTCAATGTAGCCTCCTCTAATGAAAGATGCAACGTCTGCAGTAAAAATGTTTTTATACATCAGAATTTAACTCAAACCGAGCTTCCCTGTAGCGAATGCAGATTAAACTTTACGGAGAAAAATATAGACGTTTCTAAGGCTGATCATATATCCTGGACACTACAATCAAAACCAAATGTGTCTATACTAGAAAATAACACAGGATGTTATACACCTAACAATTCCAACGAAAACGAACTTATTCATCCAACTGGATATTGTGAAGCTAATCAACCTCTTGAAGTTAATAGTAGTCCGACTAACAATTTTATTGAGAGCAACATCAGATTACAATCACATACAACGATGTCAACTGATGCAGAAGCCATGAGCAAAGTGAATATAGAACAAAACGAGTTTTCAGATCATAGCGATTTGGATTCAGTCACCTATATATCTGAATCTGTGTTCGAGGCTATAGAAGATACGCAGGACAGCGTTATTGTAAATCTTGATGCTGAAAAACCCATAGTCAAGGGTGGAACAAAAAAATCAAAACACACCAAAATACGTTCGTGCCACATTTGCGGCAAAGTGTACAAGGCGTCATCTAGTTATTTCTACCATATGAAGCACACCCACGGAGGATCGAAGGACCACAGCTGCGACGTGTGTAAGAAAAAATTTGGCACGCGTGGAGATCTGATGCAACATTCCGCTGTACATACGAAGGAGTGCAAATTCAAGTGTCGTTCTTGCGACAAGAAATTCCGTTCGCGGGCGAGTCGTTACATCCACGAGCAGATTCATGAGGGAATAAAGAATTATAAATGTCCCCGCTGCGAGAAGAGCTTTCGATGGAGACCACATTTGGCACGACACATGCTGCGGCACGCCGCAGAGAAGGCACACGAGTGTTCTGTTTGTGGACGCGGATTTTCCGTTAGGTGTGATTTACTACGCCATGTGCGCACGCACGAAGTCGGAAACTATCAATGTGAGAAGTGTGATGTTAAATTTGCGCAAATGAGATACTTAAGAGCCCATATGACAAAAAAACATAACGTCACTACACATGAGACGGGTTAAGCTATAGAAACGGACACAAATTTATATAATAAAAATAATTCTATATAAAAAGCTGTTTTGATACATTTTTTATCGTAAATCGAATGGGAATAATTGTAACAAAATATACTGTTGAAATAAATGCGGTTTTTATTTTATAACCTTTATTTCGTTTACATTTTAATATTGATGTCAAACATGAACATTAATGAGATCTAAAAGTGAACGCTACTATTGATGGATAATGAGATAACAAACTTATTACTTAGTCTATATGTATTTATCACAAAATTTTTACATAGTTCTACTAAAATAAATTATGAAATAATCATATGGCTAAAAATTATATTTAAATACAATTTAATTATTTTACAAAGAATGTACTAAATGATGTCTTGCACAATTCATGCTCAGTACTTAACTTCAGTTGCTTAATAAATATAAAAAATATGTTGATGATTGTTCTAGAGATTGTTTATTAAAAATCTTTGAAAACAATCACAACATTTATTTTTCTTATCTTAATACTCTTTAGTATTAATTATTAAGTGAATCAATAGGAGGAGTGGATCTTCCATGTGTTTCATTGACGAGGCGTTGACGTTCGCGGTACATCGAAACCTGGATATTTTGCAACTGATGATATCTGCATACCTTGAGGGTGCTAAACACAGCTAGACCTACCCACAGCGCGAACAACGCCCAGGCTCCAAACTGAAAAAAATCATATGGTTAAATTAATACACAACAATCTTTATATACCTTTAGATAACCTTTTTCACCATATTGTTGATTTAACGTGTTACCTGTGCTGTCCCAAGTTCAATATAAAAGCCATGAGTTGAAATATTATCTTTCTTATCTATGTCTTGGCCAGTTGCATCTTCACAACTAAAAATATTATTTAAATTAATAAGTAACAGAAAAAGTATTTACCTTAAATAAATAAAAACATGCATTATTCTATATCTACTACAGCAGTTATGGATCTTATTATTACCTTGGAAATCTTTCAACAATATTCTGGCACCAAGTCATAAAGCCAAGAGTTACTATCAAGGCTGCACTTATAGCCAGTCCACAAAACAAAACACATCCCACAGCTTCAATGAATGCTGACAAAAATGAGCTATCTATACCTTTGCATACAAGTTGCGATAATCTAAAAAATAATAAAATATAAAAAGAATATTCAAGGTGCTATATATCATATATGTAGATTTGTAGAGCATCAAGCTAATTTAATTTTGTGGCTGAGTACTATTAATTTTATCTTTAAAGATAGGTACCCAATGACCATAATGATATTTTCCACAATATGAACCCAGGACCTCACCCTCGCGTTAGTGTAAAAAATTTAATATACTTGAAAATACCTATAAATTTGAACAAGGCAAACAATGAACATTAGACATCCAATAGCAATAACATAGTTGCAGTATCTTTGAGATGCCCACATAACTAATAGTTGGCCATCTTCTTCTTGCCATGTCCCTTTTGAAAACAGTAAGCAGTTACCACTGAAATAAATAACATTTTAAATTACATTCCGACAATTTATCTTTAAAAGAGACAATTAAATTAATGTTTTGTTAAAACTACAAGATTTTTTGCTAAAATTGCTAGTCCTTCCTTTTCTAGCAACTTGTCGAGCAACACACGCATTTTTCATATGTAATGGGCTAGAAAAACATCAATTAGTTTATATACCTGAATTCATCTCGATGCATGCCCATAGGAACCATAACACATAACGAAAGAATGAGCCCAATGACATAGCCAGCTATTTGGCTCAATAACAAAACATTTGTTAGAGCCATTTTCGAAAAATGATAGTCGACAAAGAAATTTGCACTATTCGAAAATGAGTACGCTTTAGGACAGCTCAAACCTTGTCTATAATACCATTAATTATTTGTACAACATTCGATTTGCAAAGTTGTTCCTCTATTTTGGATTTAATTGCTTATTGTAAAAAAAGGAGGGCTTTGGCGATCATGTCAGAAAAACACGGTTAAATAAAATAATTATAAAAACAAAATATTTGTTTACTGTTGACAAAGATGTATTTTTGATTTAAACGTCATTGTATTCTTTCAAAACAATTAGAAAAGTCAATGTCAATCATTAAAAGTATTGCTATGATATCTATGGATTGTGACATAGACCATGTGCGTGCGACTCTGAAATGTCAATTATTCTATTCATTTCTTTCAAAACAAATTGTCATAAACCGTAAAACTTCAATTTAGGTTTGACTTCAAATTGCTTGTTGATGATGTGTTTAATTTACTTAAATTACAGAATACTTGAATAATTTGCACTTTTATTATGTTATTAGGATTGTGAATACACTTATAGTAAAATCATGAATTTTAACGCTTCAAGAAACGGTAATTGTTTTCTATATTTCAATATCATTATAACATGCACGGGGACCATTCACTTTGATGTTAAAGTAGTATTTCATAGAATATTCCGCTGATATTACTGTAACCAATGTTATGTTTCTGTTTTTTTATTGTGCAGTGGGGCATTCTGGTCCTCGTAAGGCAAAGAGAGTGAGCGATGTGTCTGCCATGGGTAGTCCTTCCCCAGCCCCTGCATTTAGCCCAAGCCCAGGATTCGGGGGCGGATTTCCTCCGGCAGGTCCACCTCCCCCTTATCAACAAGGAATCCCTATGGATGCAATACCTAACTTTGGACCACAGGACCCTTCAAACAGTAAGTAATACAAAATATATGTGGTATAGAAATAATTTAATGAAACATTTTTACTTAGCTTACTTAAATGTATATGTATAAGTTCTGTTTGTGTCAGTCTCAAATATGTCATTTAACTGTACTTTATAATTCTTATTAGATTTTGGGTACCCTGCTAATTTTACTCAATCACCAATGGCACCACCAAGCCAGATTGGATCAATGCTACAGCAGCCGGTTGTACAGGTATAACAAACATACATATCATTTTAATGTCATCAATATGAGTGATACACCAAATCTTTCTGCCTCATACAACTTACAGTTTATAACTATAGAAATTTATAATTATTTCATTCAAGGATATGGCCCTTCAGTATGGTAATCAATTAGCTGCCCAAGGTCGTGAAGTGGTTCAACGAGAGCTTGGAAAATATGTTCCTGTATCAAGGCTGCGATACTACTTTGCTGTTGATACTAGATATGTTCTCAAGAAGTTACTACTAATTGTGTTCCCATTTACACATAAGGTATTTTTTTAAGCACCTCACCATGTAACAAAAATTATTTACATTATGAGTCTACCTTATAAAACTCAATAGATTGCCATCACAATCAAGTTTTAGAAAAATATCTTTGATTGATTTTAGAGTGTAATAAACATTTCATCTTTTCTAGGAATGGATGATGAAATATGATCAAGAAACACCAGTGCAGCCGCGTTATGATATTAATGCTCCAGATTTATATATACCATCTATGGGCTATGTCACATATGTTCTGCTTGCAGGTTTTATGCTAGGTAAATTTAATTTACCTAATTCTCAAACAAAAAAATATAAAATAGTTTTAGTATCATTATTTAATGTTAATTCATCTCAATTACAGGTCTTCAACACCGTTTCTCACCTGAACAAATATCTATCCAAGCATCAAGTGCTCTGGCCTATATTATCTTCGAAATGGTTTTGTATATTGCAACACTGTATATCACCAATACGAACACTGCGTTAAAAACCTTAGATCTACTAGCATATTCCGGCTATAAATACACTACAATGATTTGTAGCCTGCTAGCTGGCTTAACATTGGGAGGAACTGTCTATTACTGTGCTCTTCTGTATTGTAGTGCTGCACTTTCTTATTTCCTGGTAAGGCAATAAAAATACATCACCTGTAAACATCTGGCCCAGGAATCTCTTTTAAATATGTAATTGAATCTGTATTCATACAGAAACTATGATATTTTTCTTTCCAGTAGCGAAAAAATTATCATCTAAAGAAAATAAAACCTTGAAAAGTGAACATAACTTTTTTTTTGGTGCCAATAGCTATGTGGATTCAGAGAAAACTTTTATAAAAATTTAAAATTTGTTTTTAAAAAACTTTCAGGTAAAAACTCTAAGACTACAAATTTTATCCGGCGGCCCTACAGCTCCAGATACTAGTTACAATTACTCAACTTACAATCCATCTAACCCATACACAGACACATGGGCTAAGCCAAGCAGTGGAGGTGGAACCAAGAGAAGAGTATATTTCTTACTATTTGTGGCCATTACACAACCACTACTATCCTGGTGGTTAACATACCATCTAATACCACCATCTGTTGTACTACAAGCTCGATAACAGATGGTGGAACCCACACCAACTATAATTATGATTGGTATTATGTTGCTACTTTGAACAGATAAATGCAATGTCATCTATTCTTAGTCAAATATTAAGAAACAATGTTTTTTATAAATAGCAATTTAAATACTAGTCATACAATTTGGTAACTATGCAAAACAATCATACCTAGAATTAAGTTTGAATGTTGGTACTTTTGATAATAAATGTTAATAGTAATATCGTGGTGTTTTATTCATAGCATACACTGAATAGTTCATAATCTGATATAAAATAAGTACGTACTGTAAATGTGACCAACATTTAAACTTTAAAGTGATAAATATATAGTTCAACATTTTAAGAAAGATTTTATATGAATTCTCTTTGAACTGCATGTTTATTCGTACTTAACATGTCTTCTACTTATTATCACACCTATTAAAAATATATGTGTCTTAAATAAATATGTAGTGTTAACCCCATGTGTTAATAGCAATTAACCAAATTTATTTGACGCAAAAACAATAAAATAAGCGTTTTTTATCTGCCTAATTTTCTAAATGTGATTTTATACTACTTAATTTCACTCTTATCTCAAAATTGTTTTTGGAACTATTATAAATAATTATTTATTTGATTGAAGCTATGTAACCGACGTATTTAAGACGTTTTGATTTATTTTCTATTACCTGTCTTTTTTTGGAAACGTGGCTATTAAAAATATAATGAGTATAAACTTTTCTGTGTGTCGTCAAATAAAAAGTTATTCATATGAACTTTTAGCGCATGTGCTGTACACCTTGACCCAGTTACTGGTTCGTAGTTATAGCTACTATTAGACTACGCCTATTTCATATGCTTCGCGCGGTTTTATGTATTGTTCAAATTTTACAAATATAAAGTAATCTAGTAAGATATATTAACCCGCATTCGAATATCATGTCACTATGTATGTTTATATTTATACTTATATGATTCAACGTTGTATAAGAAATTAAAAAAATAAAATTAAAGCATCTTGTATTTACTATTAGCTAACAGTGCTATGTAATACGCAACAACCTGAAGTTAGCTGTGGAATCGACGACCTTGTGATAACTCTTATTCAGTAGTGATGTCCACGAATATATTACGTTACTTTAAAAAATTAAATATGTTTTTTTTAATTTAATTCATAACATCTCCAATTTGGCTGCCATATTAATAATACACCTCAACTATCATCAGAAAGTAAAAAATACGTGCTCTATACGTATTTGGCGTTACATTTCTAGAGTAATAAATTTATGAATTCGTTTTTTTGTCATTTTAATCGCCAATAACCAACTAAAGTTCATAAAGAAAACATTCTAGCTAAAAATATTTGATGAAGGGAATCATAATAATGATTCATAATACGAGCATCGATCAAGCATAAAGGGACTAGTATCGGTACGAAAACTCGTCTCGCATCACTATTGCAATCAGCTGGTATTAGTCAAAGCCCAGTAGTGCCAACGTGGCGGCGCCAATGTTTGACATCCGCAGATATGTTCACACTGACCATGCGCCGCACAACACCGCAGCGCAGTATCGATAAACGTTCACATTTGATTTGGACGTAATATCTAGTGTCACTTCTACTCTTTTAATTTAGTAATTAGACGATTCACAGCTTCAATTCCCTTAGCTTTATTTGCATAAGTGTTATGTGTAATCGATGATAAAAAAATAATGTACAGTGCCGCAGCCGTAAACGCATTCTAAAGGAATTACGTAATGGGAATTATGCTAGAGAAGTTTATAGTTTTGCCCTGAAATTCAACATGGCCGCTGATACGGGTATGGATACTTGTCCAAGTCCGGAGATTTCGGACTCGAGAAAACGCCCGCTGGACGGAGACTCCGAGAATGGCGATATCAAAAGATCCCACTTTAGTTCGGGTGAGTTTTTGTTAACTTTTCTCACACCAATTGACAGTCCCGTCCGAAACGTACAACTAGCTATAGCCAACAAGATTCTTATCAGAATAACTCTTATCAGTTTGACCTATTTAGCGATAACAATAATTGTTGTAACTTAATGTAAGCTCGATATCAATGCCATAAAGTTAGGATTGAAAAATGATAAGCGCGAGTGGTTATACGAATTATCATTTTGTTTAACGGTTATTCCTGAAATTGTATGTAATGAATGCAAAGTTAAAAGTCGGTCGTTGTTTTTTAGTTCAAGACTTGGTGACGGCATTGCCCCTGGCTAATGGCCACGGCAATATTACGTCTCATTTTGGTGAGTCGTCTGAGTATTATGTTGTCATTGGCTTTTTGGTTGTTGGTGGCGCGCATGCCACTCTCATGTTCATCTGCAGCTCACCACTCACGCACTCACTTGTCCGGCCACAACTGGACTAAACCTGACCATATGTATCATTCCGTAGCTAGGATCCTCTAATGCCTACATAACTTAGACTTAATTATCATATATTTATCAAAATATATTCTATAAACAGCCCACTCAATTATATCTAATTATCATTTAATATCTAGTTGTATTTCAGTAATTTGACTATTCCTACAAAGAACACTTAAATCATTTAAAATTTCCTCAGTCATCCTCGAAAATATGATAGTGGGAATCTACCTAACACAAAATAATATTCATGCACCTACACTGATTTAATTGAAGTCTGTTTGGCTTACACGATCACACTCAATATTTGCCAATTACCGCAATACATGCCATTACAAAAAGTTCCTGCTTTATTATGAGCTCAAATTAGGGATAGACAGAATAAAATACTGAATGTGGTGAGCTGAAGCAGAGAGAGCAGTCAATGTAGGCTTTAGTGTTACTGTCGATAGCCATAGCACACATGGTAATATGTGAGCCTCAACACGATCATAGCTTCGTACATCCTCGGTGTGATCATCGCAGTGTACAGTTCTTAAACATTTTGCAAATCTCTTTTTAAATTTATTTCCCATTTGATTGCTTTATTTGCTTTTTCGAACTAACTGGAAGTTTAACATTATTTGCTGATATCCATTTTTTTTTTGTTTAATTTCACTGTATTTAGGTGTATAGATTGGCACTGTATCCATCATTTAATATTTTTTAGATAGAAATGAGAACAAATAGGTAACTATTTTTTGTACAATAGGGGTGAATTCTGATTTTCCCTTAAAATTTTTACATTATTATCTCTGTTAAGTAAGGAATCTTCCTCTCAATGTTTTTAAATATAGGAAGGTCACATCTAAGCATAACTGTACCTAATAACAAGCGGTGTAGAGTTGGTAATGTTTTATTTGAATAATTCCAAGGTTGGTTTATTTAATTTCATAGAACAAGTTGTCTGTATACATTCAAACAGTGTAAATTTTACGAACATAATGTGTTTCTTTTCTATTATTCTCTTTCCACCTCTGCTTTTATTGCAGTTTCTTTGAATTGTTTGTTGAAGTGGTATTAATAATTCTTCTAGCTGATCCTGGCTGTTTTAAATGTAACAACAAATCATTGTTCCTGTAATGACTTGGTGTGAAGGATTAAAATTTTGAAATGAAAATATGCATAAAAACAACAGTTGGTGCAACATAATTGTGCAGCAATAAAAGCTGAAGTGCATTTTTGTCATTGTGCATTTTAAATCGCGCGATATTTAACAAAAACGTACTTTCGACTAACCGTAATGCTGGGTGCTAAAATTGGGCCACGACCTCTTTCTGACTACCGTGTTTGCGATAAACGCAGAAGCTAAAATTAAGGCTTTATTTTACAAAAAACTAATCTCAAATGTTGGCTTTAATTTTGATAGAATTATAAATATACATGCACTAGGTCCTAACAGATGTTAGTCCTACGCCATTTTTATCGCAACCGTCCAAGTTATGAATAGTTTAAATTAAAATATATTTCGATTGATAAAACACTGTGTTAAGTGCGGTGTTCGGACTCGAACCGAGATACGCAGCGTTATCAATTGAGTTACCGCGTCCTTCTCGTCTTGAGCCATCTAATTATACACGAAACTCTCGCGTAACGAAAATAAATGGTTTAATTTATATAGAGCTATTATTATTTATATACATATTACTTTTTGCTTTATATTTGTGCCCTCTTTATAATCGATATCGGATTATTTTCAATTTAACACGTTAAAGTGCTAACAATTGCATAATTATGTAATCGTTGTGATCCGGTAATCATAATTACACGGCTACATTGTAATTGCTAATGGAAAATTTAAACGAGCTATTAACACGAAACGTCTCTAAGCATAGACACGTCGCGCAGACTAAGACTAATATTTTTACCGCATAGAAGATCTCTTACTAGTATTCAAATCGTATAACCAGAGAAATTATTGTTTTATCTGCGCTAAGCGACCGACCGATCCCTAGAAGGTTGACATCTAATTCATAAATAATTCAGGGGCGTATACACGCAGAGGAATATCCTAGGGGTCTAATAAATTATATATTTCTTGTTCTAACAAGAGCTTAGATGTAACCTATTCAAATTGTTAATCACATTGATCTTTTCGTAATAGATCGGTTCTCATTACATACTCTATGTATTGTGAGAACATTGTTTAAGTGTGGTTAAAAAGTAAATTTAGTTAGTAATAGCTGTCTTTATTTTTAATATTACATTCAAACACTTTTAAAAAGAGCCTCGGATCAATGATAATCTTAATATCATTAATTACTTGTATTTTTTTGACATAGCATAGTGCTAACCAAAAATATCACTACAAGTATTAAAGAACTTCGTCAAAATAAGAGATTAAAACGACACTACACTAATAATAGGTGAACAATAACGTACAAACGATCTACAATTGTTACTTTGTCCACCCAGCAACGCCTACAGACGGTAAATTAGAACCCTACGGGCATTTATCTAGGCCAAGCTCGATGTATGGAGATCGTTGGAACTTGTGGGCGATTCTAATACTAATGCTTTTGTTGGGAAAGACGGTTGAGCTATATTTTGCTAACGCCTTAAGATAATCTACGTCATTATATTTAAA